ATATTCTGGAAATTCGCAAGAGTCGGCGAGCGACTCAGTCCCTACGTTAGCTTAGCTTGCGTGCTGATGGCGGTAGGTTGATGAAGCTGGCTTTGCGACGTGTACACTAGCGAGCTAACAATTCACAGGTGTCGATGCTCTTCTCATGATCATACTGTACCGTACTGTATATACAAGCCCTTGCCAATTCGATCAAACGTCTGCCGTATTGCCTTGTCGAACTTCGCTCTCTGTCCGTGGAAAACTGCGCCGGTCGCCCACACATGCGCTACAAGGGGTTGGGATTCGAATGAATATCCGAGAACTTTGCCTGGATACTGGAGGCCATGCGGACCGAGCTTAACTGGTGCGCTGGCTTCGGATTTGACTCTGAGGGTTCAGATGTTCATTGCAACCCGAATCTTGTCCAGCATGAATGCAGCCCGTGCATGTTGTCGTTTCGCCCATCTCGAGGATAGGCAAAAGCATCTTCTATCCCAGTCGAGCTGGCCCGGTACGAGCTGTAGGAGGAATTTGTTGTCATTGAGACAAGTAGCAATGGAGGCGGAATGGGTTGTACGCTTCGAACAACGGAGAGAACTCGTTGGGACAACGAGTGTGGATATACGGCACCCTCACCGCCATCCACATCAAACGGTGAACAAGTGGGTGCCACGACGTGGGGTGTGCGCACAGAAGGGGACAAGTCCCTCAAGGGGCTATCTGTAGGAGCTACGGTATTGCGAGCACACGGCTGGAGGGTAAAGAATGGCGAAGTCGATAGAGACATGGTAGTAATATCAAACTAATGCTGGTGTATTTTTAAGGTTCTGGTATGGAGATGGTTCTCGGGGATCCACAGTGAAACGGAGAGAAGGCAAAACATGTCGTCAGGTTCCTGGGCTGGGCCTGATTCACATGGAGGGTCAGGTTGCCGTACAGTAATGACAAGCAACGCACTCGGTTACGTAGTGCATTGCTGGATTACCCACCATGGACCAGAGCTAGACTGGATCCAGGGAGCTGTGTGCTACGGTGTGAAGGGGCACTGTGGCATTTGCCTTGTGAAACTGCACATGAATCGAGTGTCTCTGCCAGGTGGCTGCTGCTGATGAGGCCTACCTAGAGGCGGGCGAGGCAGGCAGCCGCCCTGCGGTCGATTTGCACAGGGGATCTACGCGGCACTCGCAGCTGAACGGTGGCCTTGGCACATGAATCCAGATGCCTGTAGAGGGTGGCGCAGGAGGGAAGCTCCGGATTGCCACTCGTCCTGTCCTACGCCAACCAAAAGCCGCGCAATGCAGGTGATGGCGCCCAACATGGAGCAGGGACAGCAAGCGCAGTGATTAGGGAGTCGCTGATATAAAACACGTTCCCCAGGCCTGGCTCTCTGACGTGACAGGTTTTTTTTTGTGCTCCCCATATCTCACACTCACACCCTGTACCTCGCCCTACAGTAGATGACCCGAACTGCTGTCCTGCCTGATACTGGCTCCCCATCGCTGAGGGGCTCACTGTCCGTTTCTTCTGCAAGCCCCAAAGTTGCGCCCGCCTTCGTTACTGACCCTCTGGCTAGTCACAACATGGAACCGTCCATCGACTCCTCCCTCTCTACCAACGGGCTGGCTGACGAGCAGCGAGGCTTGCTGGACCTTGTTGACAAGCTGCAATTTGCTCAACTTGACAATGTCAGACTCCCCCAAATCGTCGTTGTGGGCGACCAATCCGCCGGGAAAAGCTCCGTTCTTGAGGCCCTGAGCGGCACTCCATTTCCCAGAGATGCTGGCGCCTGCACTCGCTTCGCCACAGAAATCCGCCTACGACGGGCAAAGGAGCCGTCGCTCAGAGTGTCCATCATCCCGGACAAGTCCCGGCCGATGAAGGAGCAGCAGGCTTTGATGCAGTACGGCGGAAACGTCACTGGTGATTTTCCTTTTGAGTCGATGATGAGAGACGCGACAGAGCTCATTGCGCCACGAAACATCCCCGGACGTTTCGCTGCCCGCGATATCCTCGTCGTCGAAAAGAATGGCCCCGAAATGCCACTCCTCACCCTTGTCGATCTGCCTGGTCTGGTCCGTGTTGCCAACCGCGACCAGTCGGATGCCGACATTCAAACGATTGAAGCTCTGTCGGATCGGTACATGAAGAGCTCCCGCACCATCATTCTCGCCGTCGTCGGAGGCAACAACGACTACGTGCAGGCTCCCATCCTGAAGAAGGCCCGCCAGTTCGACCCAAAGGGCTCACGAACCATCGGTGTCTTGACCAAGCCGGATATGACAGAGCGCATCGGCCTGGAGGATAAATTTATCGAGCTTGTTACCAACAAGGACCCCGAAAACCACTTCAAGCTCGGCTGGTATGTTCTTCTGAATCCGGGCCCTGCAGACGACTGGTTCACTCCCGAGGAGCGCCTCCGCAAAGAAACCGAATTCTTCACTCGTGGAAAATGGGCGGTTCTCCCCCCTCAGAATTGGGGAATTGGTTCGCTTCGGCAGAAGCTCAGCACCCAGCTACAGCGCCACATTGGCAAGCATGTCAAGTCTTTGAGACGACAGATTCAGCAGTCTCTAGAGCGCTGCGAGACTCAGCTCAAGGCTATGGGAGCCGGCAAGGACACCATCGAGGAGATGCGGTTTGAGATGGGTGAGCTCTTCACGGCCTCAAACAACCTCGTCACTCCTGCGGTCAATGGTAACTACAAGAACCCTTTTGGCGAGAAGTTCTTCTCCCGACAATCGAACCCCAAAGCTACGCCCTCGCAGAAACTCCGAGCTCGTGCGCGAGAAGAAAGCGATCGGTTTGCTAGACGGTTCCGCCAGCACGGACGCGGTGTGATCTTTGGTACCAACCAAGTCCCCCCCTCCACTGAAAACGCGTCTCTGCCCTCGCCTGGACTGCTGATGGATCCGGCCAAGAAGGCTTTTGCACAGAACGAAGTCGAGCCTCTCCTGCGACAGATCCGTGGTAACGAACTTCCGCTTGATTCCAACCCCCGAGCTCCTTACATTCTCTTCCAGGACTATTCTCGAAACTGGCCAGTTCTTGCCCAAGAGTACAAGGACAACCTGGGTGTCATTTGCAACGAGTTCCTCGCTGATGTCATTGACCATGTCTGGCCGATGCGCATGCGCGATCCTTTGCGCTTCCACTTCCTTGAGCTCAAGATGAAGGAGCTCATGGATAGTGCCGACAAGGAACTCAATCGACTGACGGATGACATGGAGCTCGAGGTGCAGCCTTTCGACCCCGAGTACGAGGATCGTCTTCGCAAGTGGCGCGCTGCCATCATCGAGAACGGCGGTTCATACACCGAGGCTGAGGAGGTTCTTGAGAAGATGTTGATCTACTACGATCTCACCGCCCGCATCTTTGTGCGCAACGTCATCACTCAGGTTGTAGAGCGCCACCTGCTCCTCGGAATGCTCCGGCTGTTCAATCCTATCGAGATTCTGCGCATGTCGGACCACAACATCGAAGCCATCGCAGCCGAGAACAAGGAGACACGCGAGAAGCGTTTGGCACTGAAGAAGCAGAAGGAGGCCATCGAAGACGCAAGGAACATCTGCGCAGCCCTCGCCATGCGGAGCGAGCTTAGAGCTTACGAGGACGAACCGGATGACGAACCCTCAGACGACGATGGCTTACGGAGACAAGCTTCGTCAGTCGGCTGGCAGTCCACTCAGTACGCCCAACGACCGGCGAACGAACAACAATCCTCCCGGAAGCCAGTGTCTTCCAAACGAGAGTCGTTTGTCCCTCAAACGCCTACAAGTGCCCGTGACACCCAGGATTCATCCTGGGACCAGTCAAATTACACCAATGGAGGGTCCTCGTCCAGTTATACCGCGCCGGTCAGCGAGAAGCCCCCATCCCATGCACCTCCACCACCACCACGACCTTCCAAGGTCGGCTTCGACGAGCAGCCTGAGCGTTACTATGAATCCTCCTCGCCTCGAGGAGAGTCGCACAGCCGCTCTAAGGATAGTGCCAGGGCCAGACTCGCGTCGGCCATGAGGATGGGCTCGCAGGCCGCCTAAGCGTATGAGCGCCATTGTTAAATAGAGAGATGGTTCCTATATCTGTGAGCTTTTCAACATGGAGTTTTAGATGATGAATCGTCGATGAGGCGTTGGGAAGGAATGACTTGGGATACATCATCGTTTGGCTTAAATAGTCTGGTGCGCACATGGGAATAAACTGTTACAGTTTCTTACGATCAATGTATAGATAAATAGTCTCTGGTAGCGAATGATTTTACAATATTATGTCCTTAACTTGGTTTATACCTACCTACTGTGTCAAATTGTGGTTTGAGAACTAAACATGTGTCTTTAGCTTCAGTAGCACTGATTTGATCTAAAACCTCAAGCAGCTAAGCCAGATCCTATTTGCCGCGGTGATGATGAATGCGATCAATGATATATGGCTGCAAAGCCGCCAAGTTAGACCTCTTCGTAGTAGGACTAGGACTAGGAAGTAGCTCCGTAACCGTAATCTACCTAGGTACCTAAGGTATATACCGACCTACCTACCTAAAGCACCGTAAACTGGAGTAGTACCAAGCCTGAAGTACCTTTTTCTTTCCTTTTATTTTTACCCTTTAATTAACATGATGTAGCCGCTGGCGGCGTTTGCAACCTGCATGGGAGTGAATGTATGTACACCGAATGTCCACCCGCATTGGTCACGTAATTCCTATTTACAGGTAGGTACCTACCCATAACACAACCGACGAAACACCACACCACTAAAAGGGAGAGAGAGTAGGGGCTAATTTTCATTTGCCCATCCACATCCACATGAGCATTCAAATACAGATTGATCAACTCACAAAGCCACGTCCGGAAAATCGGGAATTATTCCTACCTACCCAAGTGCTGGGTGGGCTGATAAATATCGATCCCTTGTACCACGGCCAAGCCAAACCAAACCACCCCCCTTAGCTGGCCTCACTACCTCACCTCCTCTATTCTTCGCCATCTCTCTATCATCGATATACACCCACACAAGAGGTCATGGCGCAGCTTTACAGCCTCCCCGCCGAGATTGTAAATCATCTCTTGGGCTTTATCCCCAGATCTGATCTCCTCAATCTGTCCTATGTCAGCCGAGCTCTGCGCCGATCTGTCGAGCCATTCCTGTATTCGACCATTGCTCTCGACTGGGATTACCATAAGGTACCTCCGATCATCCCTCTTCTTCGCACCCTCCTCCAGAAGCCAGAGCTTTTCGCCTACATAGACTCCGTATCCATGGTTGGAAATGAGTTTTCCATTGGAACACGACCTAAGCCTCTGGACCTAACCAAGATGCCGTTGGACTTGTTTCTAGCTGCCATCGAGAAGACCCAGGTACCTTATACCAGTCTTTGGGTTGATCAATTGAAATCAGGTTCAGGCAGCATGGATGCACTTGCTGGTTTGCTCATTGCCAATCTTTGCAAGATAAGATTCCTTGCAATCACCCACAATTTTATCGACAGGTTCAAAGTCACTAGCCGAGTTCTTCAGTCCAAGATCCTTGGCCAAATACCCAATTATTCCGCAGTCTTTGGCCGCCTGCCCAAATTTGAACAGCTGAACCGGCTTATTTATTCCAAGGAGCGCTCCTCTTCAGACCATGATATCTTCCCGGACGTGATATCTCTATTTTATCTTCCAACAGCCAGGGACTTGGTTGTCAATATAGCGAACCCCGAGATACCATTTGAGTGGCCTGCAGGAGAGCCCGACTTCAGCCACCTGACCTCGCTTGAAGTCGATTGGGTCTATCCGCGCTGCTTGGCCAAGATTCTTGACCACACGTGCAATTTGAAATCGCTCTACTGGAATTGGCAATATGATCAGTATGGCACTGAGGAATCCGGTTCCCTTTTGGACTATAATCATATTATCACGGCCCTAACACCCATCAAGAGAACCCTGGAGAAGCTCCATTTCCGCTTGGAAAAGAGCTCGCTCGAGTATATTGACGAAGGGATAGCCACCGCAGGATCATGGGATGGCCTTTGCGACTTTGAGCGGCTCGTTCATCTTGACGTTCCCTTGATATCTCTTACCGGCGTGGATTCCAATCCTGAACCTATGGAGCGCCATATCCCGCCCAGTGTTGAAACGCTCTGCCTTACGTCCGCTATGCTGGTTCATGAAGATGCAGTCCTGTGGGTGATATATCCGGAAGATGTTTCAGAAGAGGAGCTTGAGGAAATGACTATGGAGGACTGGCACCCAGAACAATATGTATTCAGGACGATCAAGGCCTTAGCGGAGAATTGCCCACAAAAGCTGCCACGACTGCGTCGCATAGACTTCGTTGGTGAGCACGGAACATGGAGCGCGCGGATGGGTCCGTTGATGAGTGAGGCTAATCTTGAGCATGATGTTGAGCTCCAGCCAATACACGAGGTATACTGGCATAAACGCCGCCTTCCCGGCTATGTTTGGGATAACTAGATCGATGGATCACCCCCTAGTAACCAATCTACAAGAGCTTCCAGAGTAAATTGTTCACTTTTCCTGTTCACTGTGCTCTTTTCTCGTAATCAAGACAAATATTATCTGGTAGAGATGATCAGGCTGGTAAGCCAGTGGATTTGCTCCTATTTCTGTACCATGCAAAGAGCCATCTGCCCTATGGTAGGGCAGAGTTTCCGGCTCTTGTGATTGCACAATCTCTAACTTGATGAGTACGGCAAGTCTGTTATGCGCAACGCAGTATACGCGAACAGGGCAATCAGAAAAATGTACGACGAGGCCAAGGGGCTCTGGAAAAAGGACGACGCGAAAAAGCAAAGCGCCAAGCACGGGAACAATGAAAAATGTGGTGAGGTTACTACAGGGAGTATGTGGCACCAGAACCACAAAGACAAAACAGAGCTAGGAGACATCAAAGAAGAGGATGGGAAACCTGCTAGGATTGTCACTTTCAGGAGGAAGAAGGAAGGCTAGGAGCCACAAATCCACGACCCATGCGACGGTGTGAGTTTTGATAAATTCCCTTGATGTACATGCAAAGATGTAGCTAACATTGGACGATGAATAGCGAGATGCGAAATTTGGTCTTGGTGGCTGCAAGACGGCGACAGGTCCAGAGGTGGGCAAATACGATGTCCTCTCACCGGATACCCCACTGGCTGATACCTACGACTTGGGCGAATTTGAGGCCAAAAGAAAGGATCTTCAAAATCAAAAGCAGAGTCGTCTACAACCCAATCTCAGGATACCCCAGCCAACCAAGCTGAGCAGAGCAACCAAGCTGCCCAAGAGAATCAAAGCGGTGGAGGAGGCAGAGGAGGAAGAGGAGGAGGCAGAGGGGGGGATAGAGGGGGTAGAGAGGGAAGAGGGGGCGGTGGAAATAATGGAGATACCTTATAAGGGCTCAAATGTTTAGTAAAGTAATGAGAGCGTGTGGAACTTCCGCCAGCTGTTAGGGCTTTTGCGTACCTAGGAAAAAGGGATATAAGCTAGGTTGACTGCTTAGCCTCTTTGAAATGTAATAATTCTTACCTTTTGCTTTTGATTCCTTCTTGAACTTGTAATTTTTCATTAGTTTTTCTATAGTTAACCTAGCTGTTATAAGGACCTAGATAGTCGTATTTAATTAATTATATATAGGAGTCTCTAACTTAATACTAAAAATGTAGTCTTTTATTATAGTTATTAGTTAGAAACCCCATCAGCACTCAGTAAGCTAGGAGGCTAACACAGTATAAAGTAAAGTCAGAATTATAGACATAGGTAGAAAAGCTTAAGCAGCTAGATGCATACAGTATAAGTGTAAGAGTTAAAGTAGCTTAAATTTATATAATAATAATAATAAAAAAGAGCTCTATTAACCTAAGATTATACCTACCTAGATCAAGGAAAAATCTATCAAACAGTATATTAATAACCGGATATTGAATGTACTTTCACATACAATGAGCTTACTGAAGTTTATCTATGAAATATTTGGCAGCATAAAAGGACATAATGTGCTTGAGGGGGCCTTTATTGATGCTCAGGTATTGGATGTTTCTGTTGGAAATGAAATATCGAACATTGAAGGTGACCGTTATAATGAAGATTCCAAACGTAGTAATTGGCCCTTAGAGCCTAATAATGGAGGAACATGACCAATTGCTTGCAAAGCTGTGGAAAGGGGGGAAAGGGGCTTGATGTGAACCCTGGCGATCGCCCAATGATGGAATGAGCCTAAACACCCCCCCCAGATCGGATTGGAGAGATATGACTTGACCTTAATAGACACTTAGATGACTAAAAATACTGTGTGAGTCGGGTGAGTAGGGCGTCGGACGTTTATATCATGCTTAAACCAGCGGCATTTGTGCCAGGAACAAGAGAATGCAGAGGACACGCTATAGCCCAGAATCATCAACATCCATCTGAATATGCTCCGCTTTCCTCCCCTCAAGGCAAGGCTACGGGTTGTTTTACTAAGTAATATCCTCACTTAGATGTACAATTATATCGGACGTTCGTTTGAACGCAGATATGGAAGCCAAACTATAATCCCCGTCCTGGTTGATCATTTGACCCGGCCACCTTTTCTCGCTCGGTTCAGTGTCCAATAGAGTATGGTAGCTCGGTTAAAATGAGCACGGCAGATACCAACTTCGTTCGTAGTAGGTCGCCACTCTTCTACAAGACAATATTTTTACTCCCACTAAGATTGTTCGCAATAACCGCAAAGCCAACTGAAGTCATGAGATCCTGGCTACTAGGAAGAGGGGCCTTCCATACCTTCCCGGCTCAAGTGGACATAGGAAGAGAGTTTATTCCTGTATCGAAAACGCAATGTTTATGGTTCTGTTCTTTTGGGACTGTTTGGTGCAAAATCCTTTTACAAGATCCCTCAAGTCCAACACCTTATGAAGTGTAGGTCTCAAACACATCTTATTTTAATACGAGTAAGGTTCTTATGCGGCCACGCATCATCCACCACCGAGAATGGTAACAGAAACAATCCCCGTGTTTGGTACAGGCGCAAATCCGAGAGACCGGGTTTGTTGTCCAAAGAACCATACTTTTCTCGCCCAGATTTTCATTACGGATTTCACATGCGCCAAAGTTCCCGATTCAGTAAGATTTAAGGGCACCGGTTCAGTGATAATTAATATTTACATTTGCGGCAGCCATCCGCGGTGGCTGCGGGTTAATCCTACGAAATATGCATGCCTTCCATCACACCTTATCCCCCTGTCGTGTTGAACCAGAAACGGCAGAGGATTGAGGGAAGCGAGAAAACAACCTCCAATGCTACGGCTCTCTCCCGGAGCCTCCGTCGCCTAAAGGTTGTATTGATATGGGATTTATTACAACTCTACTCATTCAGGCCTTTTCTCTGTTCATCATCAGATATTTTTGATGCATCTTACTAATTAAATTGTTGATGATACAAGTAGCCACACCGAAGGTGAGGAGACGGATCTGTGCAATATCATGGGTTATTGGATCTGAGAGGCCGCCAGGAGTTTACAAACCTCGCAAATCAATCACCTAATTTGGTATATCTTTACCACATTATGACACTGAACGGATTCCCGCGGCCAGTCAGGAGGCCCGTGAAAGTGACGTTGGAACTTCAGCTGATCTTAATGAGTAAGATTGTGTTCAAATGCGGAGTCATCGGAGGACCATACCATGAAGCGAAATTGGCAAGCTTGAAATTTAGCTGATATGACTCCAGTAGATTTGAGATGCAGCTCAAGAACTGGAAATGCGATTTGTACCTGCATCCTGTATTCAAGTCGCTAGAAATAGACTTCATCGGATTCTCACCAATAAACAGTAGGATGGTGAACGAAAGAAGAAGTACTTGCCGAGGTCACATCCGCGGGAGCTGACGAAACCATCTCTAGATGGTATGCTGCGCACGCGAGCCTTGGCTTTAACTGGCTCCATGTTATGTAGTAAGAGGGAGTTTGGACCTTTGGGCACACCACCACGTCTACCCCGGTATCTTTGCAGGGGGTTTTGAGGTGCTGTGCCTCTGGTCAGCCAAACCAGCTGCATACTCCCCGGACATTCCCCAATCAAGAGCTGAGTTCACGCATCATAACTATCTTGTATGGGAATAGATGCGCGAACCGTTTGATGTAAATTTAGATTCGTCCGGAGTGTCAAGAGAATGCAGTAATAATGATTTCATCATGTTGGCCAATCTAGAATCGCTAATTCGACGGGCATGCCATAAACATACTTTGTTTTAATTATAGATCTGTTTGGAGTGTGAAGAGGAATCACTCATAGATATATAAGTCATGATCATATGCTTTGAAATTTATGGCTATTCATCAAGCCAATTCAATCAACAAGCATCAAGCAAACCAGTCATCGAAACGATCTGACTCCTTCTCTTTTATATTTTCCTTTATATCGACTTTTCCGTTCATCTATTCAACATGGTTGCCATTACTCCAGCCATTATTACTAGCCTGTCCATCCTTGGGATGGTTCAGAGTGCCATTGCCGTCTCTGCCACCGAGGCTGATTCCTTGGCCGTCGTGCGAGGCATCTCTGACACCTTGTCCGAGGAAGTTTACCACGACAAGCGTGCCACGGGTAAGCTTCCTAAGCCTATCCGTAAGGTTGCAGGAGCCGCCCTCAAGGTCGCTTCGAAGCTTCCTGGCAAGAAGCACCTCAAGGCTGCTGCTGGCGGCGCCGAGAAGAAGCTTGTCAAGGCATCCATCTCTGCCTCAAAGACGAAGAACAAGATCAAGAAGAAGCTTGGAAAGCGTGACCTCGAGGAGCTGGAGGTCTACTACAACACGCGGGCCACGGGCAAGCTTCCTAAGCCTATCCGAAAGGCTGCAGGGGCCGCCCTCAAGGTAGCTTCAAAACTTCCTGGAAAGAAGCACCTCAAGGCGGCTGCTGGCGGCGCCGAGAAGAAGCTTGTCAAGGCATCCATCTCTGCCTCAAAGACGAAGAACAAGATCAAGAAGAAGCTTGGGAAGCGTGACCTTGAGTCCGGTGATGTGGAGTTCCTCGTGGACCGTGACGTGCTTTCTGAGCTCATCGCTCGCTCCGTCGCCGAAAATTTGGACTCTGAGATTTACTTTGATAAACGCGCCACAGGCAAGCTTCCCAAGCCCGTCCGAAAGGTTGCAGGGGCCGCCCTCAAGGTCGCTTCGAAGCTTCCTGGCAAGAAGCACCTCAAGGCTGCTGCTGGTGGTGCTGAAAAGAAGCTCGTGAAGGCAGCCATCTCTGGCTCAAAGGCGAAGAACAGCATTAAGAAGAAGCTCGGTAGCAAGCGAGGCCTTGGTGAGGATTATGATGTTGAAGTTCGTGATTTTGACGACGAGGTCTCATGGGAGTAAAGACTTTCTTCTGCGGAACCCTCCTTATCTTCATTTTCTTGGAAACATATACCCACTAGCGCATAAATCTAAAGAGACTGGTTCAGCATTCGACGGTCAAGTTACATGTAGAAACCTTTCTTTCCTTTTCGTCTCCTGTTTCATTCTCATTCTTGTTTGTTCTCCTTCACTTTTTACATAGTTTCGAAATTTACTTTTGTTCGGGCTTAGACAACCGTGCCAATTTCCCATGACTATTTGATGAGAAGTGACTGTGGAATAAAAAACCAGGATTTTTCTGGAGGATGATCGATCTGTGAATTACAGGGTCATTTCGCTCGTATAACTCTACTAGGATTTTCTTAGAGGGCCTCGACATTCTTATTGAATCTCGTACATTAATCATTTGTGAAGGATTCGTTTCTGAAGCAACGAATTTGGCTGGAGAACTAGTTGGGTTATTAGAAATACAAAGTCATTAAAGTACAATAATGGAGTAATTAATTAAGTTAGGGAATAGAGTAAAGGAAAGAAAATGACCTGGATAATAGAGTTTCATAATAAATCTACAATAATAGATCTACCATAATCAATCTACAATAATCAATCTACCATAATAAATCTACCACAATAAATCTACAATAATAAATGTGCACAAATACTAAATAACAATCATCGTATTCGCTTATTGTATTGCGTTAATCATCTTTTCTGTAACCCTAGGCTGGTCTGGAAAAATCTAATGAATACCCTATCTACATATATCTGTAATATCGAAGTATTGCAATTCTGATCGAGTTCTTATTCACTTTGAACAAGATCCTACTTACAATAGCAGTGGCATCTGAATTTTGATCCCTTCCGCAAATGAAGCCTTTAAAAATCCGTGAAGGAGTGGCTCCATGCCCGCGTTTGGCGCCGCATCTAGCCACTCATCCAAGCCAATGGCATTGTAAGTTGAGTTCGAACCATCTTGTGCCTCGAGGTACTCTTTCAGCTGACTGGGCCAAAGTTTCGTATCGTTGCAATGGTGCACATACTTGACTATTGTTCCATCTCCATTAACTGTATTGACCGCGTCATCGACCAACCGGCTTGATACGTCTTGCACGGACACAAAATCAAGAACTCCTCCAACCTTTCCATCAAGCTTGGGGACCTTTCCCAATACTCTCGAGGTGTTAAGAATCCCTGCCATCAGGTCAAGCTTGGGTGCACCCTCTCCTACGATGCTTGCCGGTCGATGGATCGTCACGGGGAGGCCGCTCTGGCTACATAGCGCCTCCAAGACCTGTTCTGCCACCCATTTACTATCCTGATACCCGCTCTGTGAATCAGGGTTGGGTATACGATCGTTCGCAGACTGCCGCGAGAGCCTTGGTGCTCCCTCCGCCTGGCCATCTGCGTTGTCCCCGATAAATGGCACGAGCGCCACCCCGGCAGAGGAGACGAAATGGAAGGGGATCGAGCGGACGAGCGCCATGCGGCATAGATCAATGGTGGAACACACATTAGCTTTGCGAAGGGACTGGTATGTCTTAAGGAAAGAGACCTGAGCGCCGTTGTGGATGATCATATCGGCACGCTTGCTGAGGTTGTCGAAATCGGTCTTTGAAAGCCCCAGATAGGGTGATTCCAGGTCGCCAGCATACTCGACAATTTTATCACTCTGAACTGGTACGCGTCGTGTCCCGTCATTGGCAACACGGATGGCAATGCAGTATATCTCACCAACTTGAGAATTATCGGCAAGACATTGGGCAATAGCACTTCCCAGGAAGCCGGTAGCGCCAGTGAGCACCACCACCAGCCTCTTGGGGTTTGTGTGAGCAGTTTCGCCATGCTGCATCGGATAGGTGGCTTCTCCAGAGGACTGATAACGCAGGGCTTCTTTGCAGGCATCTTCTACTTCTTTTTTCCAGTCCATACGTGCTGGTTGACTATTTAAACCAAAAGACGGACTGGATTTATGGGGAGGGGCAAACATCGCCGCCATCTCACCTAGAGCGCTGTGTTGGAAGAGCTGAGGTAGCGTGATCTTGACAGGCGCAAAGTGTTTCTCCAACAAGAAGCGAAGCTCAATGAGGTTTCGTGAGTTGCCGCCGAGGTAGAAAAAGTCGGTTTTGGAATCTACAACATCTAATACCTCCTTTCTGAGCACTTGTTGCCAAATAATCGCAACTTGTCTCTCAGATTCGGATAAAGGATAGAGGTGATCCTCATTCGACACCTTTGAGAGTCGTGGCTCAGAGGATGGGATGGGGTACTCATTAATAGCGCGCTTGTCTATCTTTCCATTCGCGTTGGTCGGAATTCCAGGAACAGGAATCCACACTGAGGGACGCATGTATGACGGGAGGGGAAGTTGCTCGTGTAATTGATTCGTTGTCCATTCGATGCCGTCCTCTGCAGTATCTCTGGCGAAGACGACCAGCGCAACAAGCGTCTCAGTATCGGGACGCCAGGATACAGCGGCGTTGCTGATGATATTGTTAGAACAGCGAACAATAGTATCAGCAATCTCCTCGAGCTCAACTCGCTGACCGCGAATCTTGACCTGGCTGTCGCCTCCAATGCGTCCTAGGACCTTGAGTGTGCCATCTTTTGATGATAAGCGACCCAGATCACCTGTTCGGTAGGTAGAAATACCTGGAGCCCCAGAGCCTCCGAGGATAACATTCAGGTCGATGAACTGGCGTTTGGTCTCCTCAGGCCTGCAATTGTACCCAGGGCTGACCGAGTATGGCGAGGAAATGCAAATCTCCCCCGGAAAGCCAGGCGGCAAAGGGTCGAGATTCTCATCTAGGATGGTGATGTCATAGTTTGGCAAGACCTTCAGGTCATCTGCTTCAGCCATGATATCCTCATCTGTTGAGTAAGGTACGAGACCCCTGGCACAGGTTATGTACGCTTCTGTCGGGCCATAAGCGTTGAATAGCTTCAGGTCGGGAAGACCGAGGTCTTGGAAAGCCTGACGAAGGCGAGGCGTGAGTTTCTCGCCTGCAGCATGAGCAACTCGCCAGTGACGACACTGCTTCAGATATTTAGAGCCATACTGGAACATCAGATGATACTCAGAGGGAACGATCATGGTATAGGTCACGCCTTCGGATAGCATGAGCTTGGAAATGTGCTCAGGATCACCTCGGCCTTGCTGACCGACGACGATCAATGTGCCACCACGGGTAAGAGCATTGAAGATTTGATCCAAAGCTATATCGAAGCCATGAGATGTCTGCTGCAGAACTACCCGGCACTCACCTACTACGTCAGGAATGACGTATATTTGGTTAAGAAGGCCGATGTGCGTTAGACTAACGCCCTTGGGTACACCAGTCGAACCACTTGTGTAGAGTATAAGAGCTTCTGCAGGCCTCTGGCTCAAATTCTTTGTTTGGTCTGATACAGGGGAAGAAGTCGCAGATGCCATCAACGTCTCCAAGCATAAAAGCTCAGGTTCCCAATCTTCCCTGCAAGAGGCGGCTACGAGCTTTCCTGCCTCGTCTTGTGTGGTATTAGAGTGAATAATATAACGAGGTGAGCAGTCTACGACCATTGCTGCGAGCCTCTGTTGATGGTTACGCATGTCGAGGGGTACCCAAACCAGACCCTGCCGGAGAACGGCGAAAAGAGTGCATATGGAATCGGCATTGGGATGCAGCAAAACAGCCACTCTCGACCCTGACGGAATGTTGCGGGTTTGAAGCCCTCGACAGATGGTATTGATGGTCTTGGTCATATCAGAGTATGATAGTTGGTTGCCGTCATCGTCCTTTATTGCGACTGAATTCGGGCACTGGGCCGCAATCCTTTCGAACTGATCTACAAGAGTGCCCTCCCATTCGATATTGACTAGAAAGTGTCAGCACTCAGCCGTCGAAATTACGAGTTTTCACTGAAATTACCTTTAGAACCCTGACCTAGATCGATGGCCTTGTCTATCTCATTTGGATCGGCAAGGGGGCAGTTGCTGACTCGTATGGAGGAGTCGCGCGCAAATGTTTTCAACATGTGCATGTACCATCCCATCAACATTTTTGTATCTGAAGCACTGTATAAGTATCGCTGCGTGGTAAAAGAGAGAACACAAGCTCCTCGAGGGGTGTCCGACACGTCAACCTCCAAGTCGTACGAGTTCTTGGCAGGCATCGCGCCGGTCCACTCAATCTGCCCATCGCCCAAGGGACTAGAAGATGGGACACCAAGTCGGTAGTTCATGGTGACTTGAAATAAGGGATGATGACTGCTGTGGCGGGGTACCGTGAGCTGATCCAGTAGAAGCTCGAATGGAACACCGGCATTGGATAGAGCTGCTAGAACGGTATCCCGAGTGCGTTGTGCTACCTTGTCAAAACTCTCATTCTCACGGAGATTGACTCGTAGGGCGAGAAGATTGACATAGCAACCCATGGCTTGTGTGTGCTCAGCATCTAAGCCACGATTCGAGTCGACTATACCGATGTTCATGTCGTCAGTGGTACCAAGACAACGAGCAAGCAAGGCGTGAAAACTGGCCAAGTAGAAATGGAAAGGAGTGATGCGAAGCTCCGAGGCCTTTTTCCGGATCATGGAACATAGGTCGGCCTCCAGTCTGATGTCGAAAGTCTGAATGTCATAATCGGAAAGAGGCTTGCGGCTCTGAGTCTTGGCAAATGGAAGCAGAGGCATCGGGCCAAGATACCGCTCGTGGACCTTTTTCCAGTGCAATAGTTTATCTGCCAGTTTATCTGGTGTACATTGTGCCCGCGTCTTGGCGCATACATCGATAGCTTGAGGAGGAGAGTTGCTTAGAGGCCGCCCGGCGAAAGCCAAGGTCAGCTCTGTGAGGAAGACAACTGTAGCTTGAGCGTCCATGATGATGTGGTGATGTACGAAGACGATGTGATGAAGGTCGGGCGATATCGAGAGTATGGCGACTACCATGAGGTTACCATTCGCGATATCGAAAACGTGCTTGCTAAGCTCCTGCACTTCAGCATCGACATATTCTTCGCTGTCGATATCTTTGCGTATAATTTGTATTCCAGAATCTGTCATTACTCCCTGAATGGCTTCTTGAGAGTCGGATGCAACAAAGTAAGCGCTGCGAAGGGCCTCATGGCGTCTTGCTACTCGTTGCAAGGCATTTTCGAACTGGTCAATGTTCAGGCGGTGCGGGTATCTGCCGCGGAACAAGACATTCTGGCTGGATTTATCGACCAGATACTCGTGGAGAAAATGGAGCGCAGCTTGGGAGTAAGACATGTGTCCCATGCGCTCGTAGTTGTCAATGGGCGTGGCGATGGTCGATGCTGGGGATTCTTGCCGCGTAGTGCCCCCATTCCCTCGGCTTGACTCAGCGATGGTAGGAGTTACGGTGCCGCTCAGCGTGGACAGGATGATGCGTTTGAGCTCATTGTCAGCGCGGAGATCGGTTGAACTCTCATCCCGTGGAGTGGAGGCCGGCGTCAGGTTATCAGTCTCAACAGTGATTGTTGGAGCGTCAGACTCGGGGCGAGACAACCCCGGCTCCTTTACCACTGCATTATTGTTGGCTTCTGGGGAAACTGCTTTTGGTTCTGCTCTAGGAATATCGAGCTTCGACTTGACTTCGATACTGATATCGGCAATGGTGGCATCGCTGAGAATCCTCAGAGTCGGCACATCGACAGCAAGCTCCTTGAGGAACCAAGACCGTAACTCTACGGCGACCAAGGAGTCAATGCCCAGCGAGAGCAAGGCCGTCTTGGGGTCCAAAGGTGAGCCAGTGTCGGCTAGCTGAAGTATCAAGCGTAATTTACGCGAGAGTGCTACCTCCAGCGCTGTTATAATATCATCATCACTGGCTGCTTCCGATATGAGCTGTCGGATTGTCTTGTCAGGTACGGCGCTCGTTTCCTTGGCGGCGACGCCATCATTTTCAGAAAGCACATAGTGCGAGAAACGAGGGAACCGCTTCCAGCTCGCCGTATTGGAAATGGCGAGACCTGTGTGTATCTCTGGATCGAGGTCTTTGTTGGGCTTCCCGGCCTCAATAGCCTCGGCCATTATAGTATGGAACTCTGGCTCAGAGATACACATGTAGGCTGCCGCCTTCATCTGAGCCTCCAGAATATCGTCTGCATTGCGCCACATCCACCCAAAACCTACAAGCATAGCAATGTCGATAACCGAGGCAGATACACCGCGTGCTCTGCGTTTTGATGCCAGGCTGGCCATGAACATGTTTGCCGCAGCGTAGTTGGACTGCCCAGGGTTCCCGATAACTCGGGATAAAGACGAGAAGAGGATGAAGAATTCGAGAGGATCCGAGTGAAAGGCACGGTCGAGATACTCGCTGCCTTGTACTTTGGGGCCCAGGACGGCGGCAAAGTCCTCCTCGGTCATGGTACTGAACAATCTGTCCCGAAGCACCATAGCGCCGTTCATGACACCACCAATCGGGGGCATTGTATCAACAATCTGTTGGCGAACATCGTGGAGCATCTTCTCATTCGTGACATCGAGTGTGAATATCCGGACATTAGCGTTCTTGCTCTTCCACTCGTCCAATATTCGGGAGTCGACATTGGGCCTTCGACTAGATAGCGCCAAATGCCGGGCACCGTTGTCAATCATCCAGTTGCAAAGACCGAGACCAAGCTCGCCGGTGAGACCCACAAGGAAGTATGTCTTGTTGTTGGAGAACATGCTATGAGTGTGCAGGGGCTTTACGATGGTGGCCGCTTGCTCTACGTTTCTCCAATCGACAATCTCTAGGGGCTCGGCTCTATGCGGAACCGTTGCCCGGGTCATCGGCAGCTTGTCCACTGGGGTGATGGACATGAAAGTACTGTCAATAACAGAATATTCGGTAGCTGGTGATTGAATTGCAGTCCTGATACTTTCCCGAACCTCTTCAAGGTTGAGTGAGACAGCAATACGACCATGACGGCTAGTGTTGGTGGTTAAGTGACATATCTCAGCAACTTCGTCCAGACGAGAAGCTAGTCGATCATTGAATCCAGCGATTGGCTCTTCTCCGAGCGTCAAGAGACACCGTACATGATCGGGAACCTGAGAAAGGAGTTCTCTGTATGTGACTAGGGAGTGAAGGGTCTGAGCAGGCCGATAATCATTTTCCGTGATCCGAAAGTGAGCGTTGCTTGAAGCTGTCCAAAGCAGCTCGAGACCATGGCCGGCTAGTACTTTGGATGCAATCTCCGCAGCAGACGCGTCATCAGTGTGTAGCCAGATTGTGCCCTTGATATTTGCTAAAGGTTTAGCAACAGCCTCGCAAATGATTCGTATCAGAGCTTCTCGGAGCAATTTTTGAGGAGATGTGGAGATTGAGGATTGGACGACTTGGATGATGTTGTTGGATGAAATTTTGACAATGGAGCTGTCGGTGGGTGTCAATGCCAAGACCGTCTTTTGTAGCTCAGTATCTTTGCCAACACAGACAAAATAATTCTGTCCTTCCCTCGTGACTACCGGGAAAAGGGAGCAGGCATGAACGCGCACCTCAACCTGAGAGAAAGGAGCTTCTGCACTTCCTTCCACAGCGGTCGAAGACTGCTCTAACCAACACATCCCACTGCGTCGATCCCTTCTCAGAGTAACTGGCTGTTGAGATAAGCTCAATTGAGTTTGGATAGTACGCCGGCCCGAATTGAGTCTTTGGTTCGGGGCTTCTAGGGGTAGAATTCTTGGAATGTATGTGTTGCCGTCTGAAATCACCATTTCAGTCTCACTTGACCAGACCACATCCTCAAACTCCGGCTCACCAGTATATGGCATGCGCAGCAGGGTTTTGGATAGCAATACTGCAGGCTTTTCTGTCCCCGATACGTCCAGATCCACGAATTGAAGGTTAAGATGGGTAAGCTCTTGCATAACTGAGCGGCCCAGGCCGACCATGATGTTGGCATAGGGATCCTCGGCCCGGCACCCTTTGGTTGCCCAAAGGACATTCTTGGCATTGTTGAAAATACTCTTTAGGACTTCGAATTTTGAGCCAGTCATGTTTAGAAAGGTGGACTCGTGAAGATCGACGAGCGAGATGACGGTACATCCTAATGGCAGAGCGTCTTGGGTCAAGACCTGATCTTGGAGTCCTTTGGCGACAATGACTCCAGTTGCAAACGGAGTCAGAAGTTTCGTAATTTCGCCTACAATCTCGTCAAGCTCTGAATCTAGAGGGCTAATGAGAGCGACGTGTCCGAGCTTAGGAGCCAATGACTGGCTCGGCTCTATCAATAGAGGGTTCCTAAGTACCTGAACCCTCTCGTCCAAAGCTTCGGTTGCGAAGACGGACATTGTGTATCTTTCCTCGTCTTCAAGATCACGACATTGGAAATCAACCCCAGAGAAACCATTTCGACGCAGGATCCCGTCCCACTCGTCTATTGGCACAGTGGGATGGTTGATCCGGCCCTCGTCTACTCCGAGCCACCAACCTGGCAGCGACGAGAAGATGGTCTGAATCCACAGAGCTTCACTCGTAATCTCCAGCAACACCATCCGACCGCCAGGCTTGAGAAGCCTTCGGCAATTTGCGATAGTTGTCTCAAGGTTCTTGGTCGCATGAAGCACGTTGGCCGCTACAATGACATGGAATGAGCACTCCTGGTAGCCTTGTTCCACCGGATCACGCTCAATGTCAAGTGTCTTGAAGATCATTTTGTCAGCGGTTGCTGAGAAGGCCGAAGCAGCCTTCTCGAAGAATCCAGGTGAGATATCTGTATAAGTGTAAGAGGCGAAGCTTGATTTGAGGCACTTGAGAACTGTTTTGGTTGTTCCTCCTGTCCCGGCACCGATCTCGAGGATGTTCATTTGCGGATAACGGTGCGCGAGTTGCCCTAGAATCTCACCAACCTGACTGTTCGCTGTTCTTCCTCCAATACAGTCTTGGTAGATCCTGTTTAGGACATCGTCTTCTAGTAGAATCTGCAGCGGGGGCACGTTGCCACGGACAATATCGGGATAAGCCTGACCGATGGCGTGCACGGCGCGGAGGCTAATCTCGTCGCCAAACGCACTGCGCCAAGTGTGGATGTCCTCCTCTTTATCGACTGCCCATTCTGCCTTCACTCTGCTGTGCTGGCCATTCTCGATACTGGGTAGTAGTCTTTTCAACACCCAGTCCAAACAGGCCTTGTAATGCCATGGCATGTTCTCAATATCTGGCGCTGAGATCTCTTCCCTGAGCTTCCTTAAGAAGAAATACGAGGTTCGCTCTAGAACCTCATACAGCTTCGAATCATCATGGCTTGCATTGATTATTCTGTTGTTCTCAATACCACAAGATATATCCTTTCTCCAAACCGTATGAGAGAAGAGTTTGCGATCCTGATCTGGGCTCTGTGTGGTGAACGAAGTGCAAGTTAGGCCCTCCAACTGATAGGTCAGGGTGTTGTTGCTGGCACCAGAGTAGATATTCACATCAGCACAAATGACCTTGTCAGAGGCCTCGCGTAGGATGCAGTCGGCACTGAAGTCCTTTTGCGGGTGCGATTGCTGTTCGCAGGGCTGGGCCGAGGTGATTCTGAAGCGGCGAATGCTGGTTGGAAGGTAGGCAGTCCACATACGCCCGTCGTGCGGATAAGAGAAAGCAGAGAATACACCATGGAATGAGGTATCAAGCACAGCAGGATCTACGAGCAAATGATGTCGGTATCTCTGAGACATGGAAACGGTAGCGAAGCCGAGTCGTCTGTCAATGGAGTTTGCCACGAAGTCACCAGAGTAATCAAGGCCGATGCCACTGACGCTTGAATAGAACTGGTCGAGGTTCACTTGTGTCAGTGGACGATCTAGCTCCTTCCTCGATGATTGTAGACTGTCTACTGTCTGAGTGGCATTGTCGCTAGTAGTTATGATTGCGGATCCAGTAAAGTTGCAGTCATTCTGCTTGTCAACCCCAGCATCAGCCTCGACGCTGAAGCAAGAATACTCGGCGATTGTAGTAGTAGGATCTTGCTGCCGTACATGGATAACAAATGTAACTTCGGTGCCTATAGAAGATTGTTCCGAAAGAGTAATTGCTCGATGGATCTTCATGTCCGAAAGCTCAATCATCTTGGTCTTGTCGGGCTGGTCCGCAACCAAGTATGATGCCGCCTCCACCGCCATGGACACGTAACCTGCTGCGGGGAAAAGCACCTGGTTCTGGAACTTGTGCCCTCGTAGCCATTCCATCTCTTTCACCCTCATGACCTTGCGCCAATGTACTTCCCGGCGGTTACCGCTGACGGTAGGCACCCCCAGTAGATGGTGTTCTGGTTCCTGACGACCTCGCCACAGCTTGGAAGTTCGTGATTCCCATAAAAGCGACTTTCCATGGCTCCACGGGAATTTCGGTAGAGATTTGCAGACTTGAGGACAGAACGGCGTCTCAATAGGCTGGCAAGCACGGGCAAACGCTTCGAAATCTGGTATGGGCCGTCCAGGCGAGTCAACTTGAGCATGTCGCCATACAAAACCAAGAGCCTCGGAAAAAGCAGCCAAGTCATTCCCGCCTCTCTTGAGCACTCCAATGTATGGCACTGAAGTACCCGTCAAAGACTTGATCAGCTCGCTGGCGGGACCGCGTAGGGCTGGATGCGGTCCGACCTCAAGCACGAGATCAAGCCGTTGGCTTTCCTGGACGGCCCGATCCAGCGCTTGGGAGAACATGACTGGCTTTACGAGGTTATCTACCCAGTACTGGTCGGCAAACTTCTCTGGCTCATGGGTGTATCGTCCGGCCGATCCATGGACGCTAGAGTACCAGACGCACTCAGTCTTGGCTCGCAACAACTTTATATTACAGGCTCTCAATGAATCGAGGTAGGCTCCCGCGCAAGCCTTCATATGGTGTGAGTGGTAGGCTTTGTCTACTTGTAGCGCCCGATTAAAGACCTCGTCGGTGTCAAAGGCCTCCTTAGCTTCTCCAATGGCATCGGCGTCTCCAGAAATCGTAACACTTGATCTAGCATTGCTTGCAGCGACAGAGAGGCGACCTTGAAATTGAGGACGCTGGCAGAAGGCCTCCGCATCTTGAAAAGATAACCCAACAGCCATCATCCGTCCTGGTTGGCCACTTGGAGAAGAAGCAAGGTAGGAATGTAAGCCACGATAATAGGCGATCCGCATTGCATCTCGAGCAGATAGGTATCCTGCTGCATAGGCCGCAGCAATCTCTCCCGAGGAGTGCCCAACGACTCCATGAAGAACGATGCCGGTTGCTTTGAGAAGATCTACGAGAGCAACCTGTACAGCTGTGCAGATGGGCTGTGCAATCTCTGCAACTTTGACGTGAGAGATCTCAGCGGACGCTAGAAGCTCAGAGGCAAGGGTCCATGAGGGAGCATCTGGGAGGTCGTCTAATGACTCTTGAAGCTCAGTGATGGACCTTCTAAAGGCTTCGGAATTCTTGTAAAGCTCTGCGCCCATCCTAGGCCACTGCGCACCTTGACCAGTGAAGATGCCCAAAATGCGTAACGGGTACTTGTCGGACACTCTCATAGCTCTCGATGACTGCACGGAGAGCGCGTTCACATCGCTGCTGGCGTCAAGCAAGCGATCGATGAGCTGCTCCCTATCGACGGCAGCAATCGCAGCTCGGACGGGAAAGTGTTCTCGTCGAAGCTGCAGTGTCCACGCCAGGTCTTGCAGATGGATTCCTGGATCAGCCTTGAGCATTTGAGCGAGGCTTGACATCACATCCGTCAGGCCCTTTTCTGAGCCTGCAGACAGTGTGAAAGGACCCCAATGTTGTTGCTGGGCATTGCCAGCCGCGACTAGCGGGTGTTTTCTCGGATCCTCCGCATAGTCAAGTGCGTCGACGGGATCCCAGCTCTCAATGATTGCGTGCGCATTTGTTCCACCAAACCCAAATGAGTTGACACTGGCCCTACGCGGCGAACCCGGCGGCAGTTCTGGCCAGGGCTTCAACCTAGTGGGAACCTCAAGGCCATTGTAGAATGGTTCAATCTTTGGATTGAGACGATTGAAGTGGAGATTTGGAGGAATCTGGCCATGCTGAACAGCCAGTGCAGCCTTGAGCAAACCGGCGAGGCCGGCTGCTCCCTCCAGGTGTCCAATGACTGTCTTGATAGAACCAACATACAATGCCTCTCTGTCCAGGCCCTCTTGGGTATGGCCGGGGAAGAATGCATCTCGGATTGCGCGGGCTTCTTTGGGATCGCCTGCTTGTGTCCCCGTCCCATGCGCCTCGAAGAATTGGCAGCGATCTTGCGTCTTTTCCAAGTCCAAACCACATTTACTGTAGGTCGAACGGACAAGTGCAGTTTGCGCTTCTGAGCTAGGAACAGTAAGACCTTCCGATCTTCCGTCCTGGTTCACGCCTGTCTCTCTGATGATGCATTCAATGTGATCATTATCAGCCAGTGCTTGGCTCAACGGTTTGAGAATAACAGCTGCAAAACCTTCACCACGCGCGTAACCATCCGCCTCCGAGTCCCACATTCTTGATCGTCCAGTAGGCGAAAGCATAGATAACTAGTCATGTGTTAGTCACCACGATTAAGCCATTGTAATGCAAGGGGAACACTTACTTGGGATTCGTAAATATACTTTTCGGGCCCAAGGATGAGATTTACTCCGGCCGCCACAGCCAAGCTTATCTCACGGCTTCTCAATGCTTGTACAGCTTGATGAAGAGCAACTAAGCTCGAGGAACAAGCTGTATCAACGTTGACCGATGGGCCTCGCCAGTCGAAGAAATAAGAAACTCGGTTGGCAATAATAGCTCGGCTTGACCCTGTGGCTGTGTATTGCGGAGCGCACTGCACGTCTTTGTTCAGGATGTCGTAGTAGTCGTCGGTCATCTGGCCGACAAAGACGCCAGTTGACGATCCACGAAGATCTGACATGGCATATCCAGCTGCCTCGATGCCTTCATAGACTGTTTCGAGAAGGATTCGTTGTTGTGGATCCATACTCTCGGCCTCTTTGGGATTGAGGTTGAAGAAGCCATGGTCGAACAGGCCTATATCCTCGTCCAGTACGTACGAGTGGGTAACATTCGAAGCCTAGTGGCCCAGGTTAGCATTCTTTCCGAATTTAGTTGGTGAGCTTTCACTTACGCCATGATGGCTACCTTCTTTGTTATAGAATGCTTGCTGATTGAACTTGGTTGAAGGGATTTCCTTTTGAAGGTCAGGGGGGTCACGCAAAATCTGCCAAAGCTTTGATGGAGAGTTGGCACCACCCGGGAAGCGGCAACTGGTTCCCACAATGGCCACTGGCTCAGTCTTCCAGCTATCGCTACGTGCCATGCTGGTAGTGTATATGTTCTAAAAAAAGAGTTATATCGTAGAGAATGAGGCCGGCTCTGGTAAGGGAACCGAACCACACTTAGTCTAGGAGGAGTAACTTGGCTCTGAGTAAGTACTTAGTTGATAAGACTGATATTTTGATACTCGAGAATCGACCCCTGCGTAATCCAAAAATATTTCTATAGGAACTCTAGGACTTTGATATCACGTGAAGCTAAAAGAGATCTAGTATCTCCTCGTACTCCTCGCATATAACTATGACCGCGACTTTCCAAACACTTAGATTACTCAGACTGGATCCAGCAACTCTCGAAAATGTCTGGAATGTGTATTACACGCGGCCCCCACGATGCGTGGCAAATGGCTTACACGGGAGATTTGTGCCTCAGCGGGCCAGGAAAGGCAGGATGACAGTCGGAGTAATAAAGTGCGTTTCCCTCACAGCCCCACGGCACATTCATTACAAAACCCCCGAAGTCGGCATATTTCCATATTACTCCGCCACGGGCAACCGGATCTTACTTGCTTCTGAGTGAGAGGCGACTGCCCCAATATCAAGTTCCTCTACGTGTGCCATCGTGTCTTGGCTCTTCGTACGAATAAAATTAAGGCTCGGTGAGCGCATGATGTAATTATCGTGAGGTTTAGATCGAGCAACAACTGCCTTTCGAGCAATGAATCATTATCATCATCCAGGTATGAGCGTTCGAAAGGCCCTTGTTGGGAAAGGTCCCGGCGAGTATGAGATTATCCACGATGCCCCAGTACCTGATTTACACATGGACCAAATGCTCTGCAAGACGAGTGCGGTAGCCTTGAATCCTGCGGATGCAAAGACCATTGACCACTCACCGAGCCCAGGAATTGGGGGCTATGACTTCTCCGGAACGGTCGTCAAGGTTGGCGACTGTGTGACGAGGTTTAAGCCTGGTGATCAGGTTTTCGGATTCGTTCATGGCTTGAATGCGGACAATCAAGATTCCGGCGCGTTTGCCGAATACGTGGTCGCCACAGCCGACCTCTGCTGCAAGATGCCTGAATCGATGACCTTTACTCAAGCATCTACGATAGCTTTGGGGTTGGGAACTGTGGGCTACGCCATGTTTCAGCAGCTGGGACTTGCCATGCCTGGATCTGAAGTTGGTGAGAGGCCGGAATACGCTCTAGTTGCGGGTGGAAACACATCTTCCGGCCGAATGGCGATTCAGCTTCTGAAACTGTAAGTGCTCTTGATTTGCGAAATAAGAAACGGACTTGCCTAGCTCTGACTAAAAGGTCAAATTAGTTCCGGCATCAAGCCTGTCGTCACTTGCAGCGTCAACGCCAACGCCGACATGAAGCAACTTGGCGCCGTAGAGACATTCGACTATCATTCAAGCACCTGCGGCCGAGAGATAAAGAACTATACTCGCAACACATTGGCACATGCTCTGGATTGTGTCACGTCAAACGAGACCATGGCCATGTGCTTCGAAGCTTTGGGGGCAAAGGGAGGTAAATACATCGGCCTTGAGGCCCCTCCGACGCAGATTAAGTATACCAGGCGCGATGTCACCGTCGACTGGGTCCAAGCCCTTGCACTCTTTGGCAAGCCTGTCAGGTTGGATGGCGTCTACGGTCGACCTGCTTTGCCGTCGGCTCGTCGGTTCGCGGCTGACCTTTATCGTGTGGGCGAGAGATGGACTCGGGAAGGATTGATCCGAGCCCCTGAGTTTCAGCTTCAAGAGGGCGGTTTGGACGGTATCACAGAGGGCATCGATCAACTTCGCAAGAAACAGGTTCAAGGCCATAAATTGGTGTACTCAATATCTTAGAATACTAAGAGCATATATGTGATAAGGAGGCACAAACCTCATTTATTGAATAATTAGTCAATTATTGGTTCCGTCAAGAAGAATTACATTGAGTTGACTTTCATTTCAGGCTGCCTAGCTAGGTGTGGCGTTATCAAATATAACTGGATGCCTAGCTCAGCTTCTGCTGATCAAAACGCCAGCTGAAAACTCGTATTAGTCTTATAGCCTTGTATAGGAAAAGCCCATGGCTGTGCCTCTCCCTGAGACATGGTGCCTTTTTTATTTCTACCGATCTTACCAACATAGACTAGGATTTGATCCTTTCATAAATCCGTATATAAAATGGTGCCTGTCTTAGGTACACATCTATGGTCAGAGCCATTCAATACATCCTCATTCTATCTCTCGATATCGATACAAGGAGCAGTCATCATCGACAGCGCATCCTCTAAGGTCCTCAAGCCAAACCCCCTACCACCTCCAGTTATGAAGCTCCCTACTATCGCTTGCGCTGCCAATGCGGGCATTCGGTTTATGATGTTTGCTCGTCGCCGTCAGGACCTCACTCCGGATGAGTACAAGGACTACTATGAGAATCATCATGTTCCCCTTCTCAAGAGCCTCGCAGGCAGGACATTCCCGCTATCCCACAAGCGGACATACGTCAACCGCGCCACGCCCGACTACTCAGCCGTGATAGTGTTTGGCGAGCAGGCCGACTTTGAGTATGACTCCATGAGCATCTTGACGCTGAAAGACCAGAAGCACTACGACGCTCTTTTCAGTCTCTATAATGATAATACCACCGGGAAAGCGATTCACGACGATGAGAAGAACTTTATCGAGTGGGCCAAGGCTGTCATTATAGACTGTGACCATGTGACGCGTGGCTCGCACTGATTTTGCTATGGTCTTGGAAAATTTACTCTCGTTCTTTTCTTGGAAAGTCCACTAGATATTCTTGATCCATATAGAAACTGGGATGCTGAGCCCTTTCATTGTTTTCTCTGCTTGCTTAATATATATGTTTTCTGTTGGCGACTTGATGTAGACTCTCTTCTGCCATAATTCCTTGATTGTTATCCAAGAAGAAACAAGCCAACCTCGCCTAGCTTCGCCAGGATTCACTTTATATTCTCCACGCTCAGTAGGATCACGTAGCAATTTCTCGGGTCCGACAAGGATCGACTTCGCTCTACTCTTATTATCTGCTTAAATAGGGTGATTCTTAATTGGCTCTCTTTGAATCCCAAACACTTCATCCATCCACGAGAAAACCTTCATCTGGAAGCTTGTAATTGCCCCCACCTTGGCCTGCAGCGAGCCCTGCCCGGGTCCTACAGGATCCCACAATGTCAGTCCCTCCTCGCCGCCCCTAAATTCGGCTAATTTCTGGTAGGTCAGGTGCGGCTCGATGGTGTAGATGGAATCCCGAGCGCTCGTGACCATGACGGGACATTTCACTCTGGCACAAATGGGCTCTTCGCCCGGCGGCTCCAGAGAGATTTCGGCCAGCTTGCGCAGGGCCTCGACGCACGAGTCGACGCCAAAGACCATGCGGAGATGGCCAAACTCGAGCTGGTGCTGCATGTTGAAGCCGGCAGCCCAGCTCAGCACGGCATCGGCCTGGCTATCGGACAAGTACTTGAGGAAAAAGGGCGAACGCGAGCGGACCTGAGGACCGAAATCGTAGAATCCGTCACAAGAGATGCAGGCTTTTATCCGGGGATCGGTCGCGCCCCGGAGAGCGAAGTAGGCGCCCATGGCCATGCCCATAATGGCCACTTTGCCGAGATCAATATTCCATTCTGGATGTTCGGCGACGAGCTTCCAAAGATGGTCGAGAACAGAAGAGACGACAACTTCCCAGTCCCTGCGGATGGGAGGCTGGCCTGGTCGTCGCAGCACGATGCCTTGTCCCGGTCCATCAAAGGTCATGACCGCGTAGCCTCGCTGCGCAGATCCTGACGCGATGAAGAAGTACAGCTCTTCTTGCGTAGAGTCGAATCCGTTCATGGCAATAAGCAGGGGCACTTTCCCCTCCCCAAAGCCACTTGCTTCTGGTCTCTTGCCAGCCGGAGACGGCAGATACATGTAACCGGGAAGCTTGGTGTTCTTGTAGGGGATTTCGAACGTCTCAACAGCGTTGTCGAAGAGAGAGCACGCGTTACGGAAGTTCAACACTGATTTTTCCATGATTCCCAGTAGCCTACTGTCATATGGGTTGACGTGGAGCATACTACACCAAAAAGAATCACCCTGCCGTTAGCCATGAATCGTTTGTCCTGCCAACCTGAAAAGAGAAGACATACTATTCACTCGCTCGCCTGTAATTGGATGCCCTCAAAAAGGCGCACTTCGCCGCTTCCCTATCACCACACGCGAGTGCAGTCCGTGCCGCCTCCTCAGCCAGCTCGGCCGCCTCCGTCCACGCCTGGTACCAGCTCTCCGGATCGTTCTTCTTGATCTTGGGCGCCGCCACCAGACACTCACCCACTTCTGCACCGTGCATGGGCGCCATGGACAGCACGCGTATGAACTCAAAGTTGAAAAACTGCCATGGCAGTATCTCGTGTGTTGGTGTCATCTCTGGACCTAACCGTGTTTGGAATTGTTCGATGGGAAGACGGGTTGACTACGAGACTTGCGTGTACACAAACGTATGCGCGGGGTATATGTTTGACAATGTTTGTAAGAAATAGCACGAATGGCTTCTTCTCAACTAGATTGACCCGAATCGGACGAACTGTCGCCCCGGCTTGCCCGACTGGAACTCTTTCTTTACATGTACGGGTCGGGGGGTAATCACACACGTTGGGGCAGGTAGGGCACTTTAGCCTACCTCTGCGGCACAGATCGGGATAATAACGGTGAATATTTGTATCTGTCGATGTACTTCGGGCTGGGTCTTCTTCGAAGGAAGGAAGGAAGCCAAACCCAGCACCGCCTTCAACGCCACGGACAATGACAGAGGGATGCCCACGCTTCAACGGAACAGAAAAGATGCAGCGAGAGGCCCGAATACAACCTCAAATGTATGAGTCTTGAAATGAGCAATCTCGTGAGAATATTGCAATCACTATAATTTAGAGAAATGAGAAATGGCCGTCAAATATAGTTTGAATTACTATTTGCAGCAATGAGCCGTAATGAGCCCATATGTCTAGACGAAACAGAAAACAAGGACTCTCCCATCCGCATTGGCCCTATCGTATTCTTAATAACATCGTGCTACTGCTATCAATTTTCAATCATGGTGGTCTCAATCTCAAGACCTCCCTGCTTAACCCTCTCCACGAAATCTGGACCCAACACTCCGGCCGTCAGGCAACCGCCCTTGATACCTGCAGACAAATGGCGATCGTATAGAAGCGTAGCTGCCGCCTGTGACGTGATCAAGGCAGAGAGAGGATAGGCCCCGTCCTTGTAGCTGAAATTGATGAGGCATCCCTTTCCCCGATTCTCCTTCACGGCGGGATCAGCCTCGATGAACGCGGCCGCGGCGAAGGGCATGGCCTTTCTCTGCTCCTCTGTTGGCCCGGCGCCAGATTCGGGCGCCGAGCGCATGAGAAGGTTCTTGAACCATGGGTACTGCACCAACGATAGCATTGTGACTATAATGTAGCAGCGGAACCGTTGGCCTACAGCACCCAAGTAGGAGGGAGCTCGCTCATATTCGTTGTATTGGAAATTGGGGCCCCAGCTGCCCTCAGGCCCACCCAAAAGACCCCAAGTTCTGTTGATGAGGGCACGAGCCTGATCGGCTGTGGGCGAAGAGCTGGCCAGCAATCCAAGGATGGGATGCTTGTGTGAACCACTCTGCGCTTGGATGGGCTTGGTGTAGGGCACTGGCGTCAAGAAGGACGGATCGCCGGCTGCAGCCATCGCTTTCGGTCCTGCACCTGCGAATGAGAGCATGGTTCGCATCGTGCCACCGCTCACGTTGGCACTGGTTGTTGCGTTGGTCAGATTCTTTTGTTTTCAAGACATCAGATCAAATCTGGGGGCCATACCCTTGGTCTTCCGCCCGCAGCGTCATTGATCCCATCTTTGCCGACCACTTTCGGGCAATCTGCTCGGCGCCATGGATGGCAAAAAGGTCCATTTCCGCCGACATGACCCCGCAAGAGTGAATCAACTGGGGTTGAGTTTGATCAGCTTGGCTCCTCTCCAAGTCAATGGGTGAAAGCGACCACTTACTGCAACGCCATTCTCCTGGGCTTGTTGGTGGTACTTTTCAATCCATTCTTTGAATAAATTGGGAACGGCGGCGCTGCAGAATGCGGTCAGCCATGGTCTAATGAGTGGAAGAAGAGGAAACAAAGGGTGGAACAAACGAATCTACGTAGTCAGTCCGCTGCTCGATGCACGCGCGAACGACTTTCTCGCCATCCTCATGGTAAAGAACAATGCTGATGCACACCTTGGCCTTTCCAATTACCTCTCCAAGTGTTTTGGCATCATCGGGCGAAACAACCTCGAGCTCTAACCAACATGAACCGATCAGTATTTACCGCCGACTTGGGCAGGCTGAAGAGGGGACTCACCTGGTTGCACCCTGTCAGGGTAGTCTTGTCGTAACTTGGCAGCTAGCTTGTCGAGCCGCGCCTGCGACCGACCAGTGATTGCCCATTTGAGATCTGTGGGAAGGTTGGCTGCAATGTATGTGCTGATCAGTGTGCCCGTGAAGCCAGAGGCTCCCACCACGACGATGCCATACTTTCGGCCACCCAAGTCTGTAGCTGGCATTTTGGAGTTGGCTTATTTTCCAAGCTTGATAATGTTAGATTAGGGATTGCACAAAACCCATCTGTGTGTTATTTAGCTTGACCCCAATAGTGCGGGTGGTTGGGTAAGGTGCCTAGGTAGGTATGCAAAGAAACAGGAGGAGGAATCCGCGTCGTAAACAATACGTCATGTCACCCATTGTAGATCACCCCGTCGGCGTTAAATAAGACGGCGGAAGCCAAGTAGCTGCGGGCCATGATTACAAAGTCGGCGGAGTAGTGGAAAGCTTGCAGAGTTTGGGGGATCTTTTGGTGACAACAACCAACAGAGCTGAATCACAATGGACATGTTGCAGTCGTGAGTGGATTGAGCTGGGACTTTAGTTATGTAGGTTGCATGCGCTAAGGCCGCGTAATATAGGCACGGACGGGACAGATCCCCACTACCGCAAATCACCGAGATCAAAGTCCCATTGCAATGTTTCTTCGGTGGAGTTACAAGGTTCATACAACCAGATGGCGCTAAACAGGGACGAGGATGCCACGTACCCCGCTTGTAAGGCCTGTAGGGCAGTTTACATAGCGAGCTTACATGAATCAATTGATAGTTGCCCTACCGAAGAGATACACCCCCCGTTAGATCACAATCCAAATCTTATGGTGAGGCTCCATGTTGCGTCGCATTTGTGTTTCAAAGGGGTGTATTTCGCTCATACTAAACACGAAGTATACGGAATGTGACAGACATGGCACAGCTGCACAAGGCGTACATCCCAACCTACATGTACCTACGTAATACTACGTGCAGTATTCCGCGCATAGACTGCCTTCTGCCCACTACTGCAGCTAGAGACGCACGAACAAGGATTCTGGGCCAACACAATCAATCCTATTGCCACTACAAAAGAATAATTCACGTTGCCGCCTTGCAAGGTGGGCGTCAGCCGGGGCTTAATCCATCCGTACCTCCGTCAGATGTGTCACTTAGCGGACGCCAGCCACCCTGCACGTTGTGGTACGTGTGCAGCTCAAACTCGTCCGTCACTGTGATTGACCTCCCAGTAAACCTACCTGGAGCTACGGGCGGACCCCTCGTAGCCTCTGCCTTGCTTCCCTGGGTGAAGACATCGGCGGTGCCGCCCCCATTGGTTCCCGGCCCGCTCAAGTTTGCTTTGCTCTTCCTACAGACCTGACTTATCAAGGGCCCGTAGACTGGGGCCGAAGCTGCGAGGGTGCTGATTGTGATCTCTGCTACGGCCAGCATACCACCTGGAATGTTGTCCCCTGTGGTTTTTCAGTGTTAGTTTCTGAGCTCACTAGTGCCAAAGCTGCGAGAGAACTTACAGCCAAAATCCCCACCGCTACCCGAGTTCATCCAGAGGGGCAGTCTTGCGATGCTGATAGCACAAACCCTACACCACATATTAGACCCTTGACCTAAAATGAACACGATAAAAGAAGAGCATCGCGCGAGAATACTCACAATCCCCCAACCATAAATGTCGAAATAATGAGGATTTTCTTGTCCCTCGATGTATGGAGCTTCACGACCAGCGGCACCGGCATCAGGAGAATGGCAATGTCCGTAAAGATGTGCGAAGCGGTGGTGACTAGCCCTATGGTGATGAGTGGGACACAGAAGCCCGTCGTAACGGAGCTGTCCCAGAGCTTTTGGATTGGGATGCAGAGTGCGACCCCAGACACCGTAGACGCTATCACCCACAACATGACAAAAATTCCCATTGCTATGCAGCACCATCGGAATCTCCGCGATGGGAAAATGGAGTAATAAAGGACCAAGAGACTGAGCTTCAGCCCGGCCATTGCGGAAGGGTGAGTGGCGTTGGCGATGATCAAGATCTGCCACATCACGTTAGCGATTTACAGCTTCCAAAAAGACTACATTGCGTTCCACAGAACAAAACGCTGGGATGCTCACAAGGTATAAAGACCTCAAGTCTTTTACCGCTGGCATATGTCGACCTAGGCCAAACTTGATACCAACCAGCATATTAATCGTCATAACCATCGTGCAGAGCTGGAGAGATTGTCAGATGAGAAGCACTAGCTTTGCTGCAGGTGAAACTTACCACAGAACCAATGCAGAGCCAGTCACTCCAATCCAGCTTCAAATACCCCCACGCCAGTCTTCTAGAGTACAATCGCAATCCCAGGAATGAGAGCGACAGCACAATTGCCAAGCTACATACCGCAATGATCGTGTGTTCTCTTGTATCGTCGATATGTCTCAGCATCGATTCCCAGTGTTCTTTATCAAACAGTTGCATGGGAGCCGCCATGGTTGAGTTTCAATCCGGCCGCGTCTTTGACTGACCGCATTGAACCCGGATTCTGCATAACCGGTCGTACATATACTCTGTAAGGAAAGGGCATGATAGGCATATATGGTGAAGTCTATTTCTGGCTATAGCATTTCACAGCGCCCAAAGCCACATAAGGATGCAACCAACCGAAGAGTCAGCGTTCCAGTCTGCCTGTTGGCGGCCTTGACGCAGCTGCGGCAGATTGCGCTGCGGCAATGTAACGACGCAATGGAGACTTTTAACGGGGCACGGCCCAACTACGGTAGGACTTTGAAATTTGCGGGGGTTGTTTTCTCAAAAGAGGGCAGAAAAAAAGTCGTTGATGACAGGATTTGGTTGGAATAGTAGATCAACAACCTCTTGTCAATTGAATGCCCCGGCGAGTCCACCCTGGTAGAGCTATGAAAGACTAGATGATGGATCTGAAATGTTTTTGACACAATTATTACGAAGAAGGGGGCCGAGCGAGGCCAAGATTTATGGTCTCACCGGGACCGGCTGACAGGCTTCTTGACTTGCAAATGTTCAAGTCTGAGCCCACTGCTTAATAAGGTAGTGGAAGCCAGCACTGCCCTAGGCAAAGCATGATGAAAATCACTGCTGGAAACACATGAGCGCCGTAGTACTTTTTGGTTGTTTGTAATTATCTTTACGCTCCTATGTTGGCCGCATTTATCCAGGCAAATGTCGCCTACACGTTGATCTCAAGAGTGTCCTTCAGCTGCATGACCTTCTTCCATGAATCTCTCGACGTCAATCGCCGATGCCAAGCGCCCACATTGGGGAAGTCCTTGAAATGCTCCTCCTCCGGAATACCCAAAAAGGGGTGTAATATGCTATGATAAGGTACGAAAGCCATGTCGGCAAACGTCATCTTGTCACCGACGAGCCACTCTTTGCCTTCAAGTGACCTCTCCAATACGCCTAAGATACGATTTATCTCATTGATGTAGCGATCAACGGCAGATGGAAGACGCTCGTGGTGGTGAATCATAAACCTGCAGGATCATCGTTCATAATAGGATCTGAGTCAAAGGCAGGGGGGGCAACATACCATGCCGCCTGACCATAGTAAGGGCCTTGGCCACTGGTCTGGAAGTGAAGCCATTGGTTCACATGCTGGACCTCGTTTCCTTCGGAAAATGACACCTTGAAACTCTTGTCGTATTGCTGAGCCAGATAGGTAAGAATGGCCCCGGATTCCCAAAGGACGAGGTTCCGATTGGGATCCTCGATGGCTACCTTAATGTCAGCTCCATCGCTTCCAAGCGGCGGAATACTTTCTATTACGCACCAGGGACACGACCATTGGGATTTAGGTCGGTAAAAGGCGGCGACTTCAATGCGGTGGGGGGTATTACTTTGAGCTCATACGGGACCCCCAGTTCTTCCAGGAGGAAGACGACCTGTTGGAAGCAGACTACTTAGCAAAGCTCATTGCGGTGGACCAGTTTGAAAATTGTACCTTCCAGGGGTTCGGCCCAGCCCTCTCTTTGGGGCCTAGGATAATTAGATAGAGTTCAGCTTGGATCTGTCACGGGGAGGTAGTGCCGAACACTTACCAAGCATCCACACGCGAATGGGCTGCATGATGGCGATCGCTAACGTCAGCCAGACTAATGTAGGCACGGCAAAGAAAGGAATCTGGCTGAAAAAACGGCCCATGTCTGAAGAGGCATACTTTATACTCCGCCACGATCTCGGCATCTTGTGATGGGTTGCTGACTGTACTTAATTGTTAGCACCTGAACGTACGTCACATAAGGTGCATGTATGCAATGCACAATGTCACAATTGCAGGCTTGCGGCATGCACAATAGTGTAATATTACTATCGTCCTCCAAATTGCCTTTTCCATCGATCATGCCGTTGCTGACATGCCGTCATCGGGCCGATCCTTTTGTTTGAGCCGTCGGCGTGTTCCTCGCATTGACACAGGCGTGCATCTCAACCAACCAATGAAACAGTACAGAGGCATCCAACTGCAACACTGTATAGGATGCCACGCACGCGGACATGAATCGGGGTAGACAAAAGTTCAAGCGGACAAAGTCCTAGTAGTTGCTACCATACAGGTCACCAGGGCGAAAAGATCGACCGTGAGAGACCGGATCATATGGATGCGCATCCACTGTCGGAGGGTGGATGTCGGCTCGCCGTTCTGCAATCCCCTGATCTTGGGCAAGATGGGCGGCATGAAGAGGAAATGACCCGCCGCGAGGGCCATGCTGGCCACGTACCATGAGTAGGCGCCGTTGGTGCGCAGGACCTCCTCAGGCGTGGTGTAAAGAATAGCACCGATAGAGCCGATCGTGCCGAGGAGCGGAGCCACAATGAAGGGCACAACAGTGTCGATCATGATCTTCCAGTATGGAGTCAGAACGTGTTGGGCGTTGGGCTCGACTTCCTTTTGCAGGAAGATTCGGAGGAAGAGGCGCTGGTCATTGGCGAGCACCAAGGTAGTTGTGGAGGTGACCACTGGAATGAGATGGAGTATGGACATGATTGAATGTTGATTGGCAGATCAATTCTTGGAAGCAAAATGTGAACGTTTTGTTGGTACCAGAAGATGTAAGAATGGCGTCGCTGTCGAACGGCAGGTTTGTTTTATGCTTTGCCGAATGCTCCGGGTAACGCCCCAACTCACTGATTCAGTCGCGCTTATGACCGAACGATCAACAGCCTTCCTACCCGATAAACCTGCCGTATTGCTGGGGGTGGACAGTGGAGGGTTGTCTTAACCTGCGGGGTAGGATTGCTTATTCGTGTCCCGTCTTGGGCTTTCCGCCGGCTGAGACGCTGAGGTATGCAAGGCATCAGCCCATGAAATAAGAATCAGCCGTGACTCCACAGTGAAACTCCGCAGTGTCACACTAATGCGGAGTTTCTTGGCCAACAGCTTAAAGGCTACGTCTTAACCAATCATTTCACACGACCATCACACTTATTAAAAAGAGACCAGCTCTCTATCAGACAGCCATTAAGAAGGAAGCAAAGCACATCATCTCTCACTTTTGCACTCCTTAATCCGAAAACCCAGCAGTCTTCCAGATTATTGACCGAAATGGCTTCTCGCAATGTTCTCAAGGTTTCCGCCTTGCACTACAAGGACCCTAATAAGACAGACGAGGAGTTTGAAAAGTGGTTCCATGAGGATTTGAACCCAAAATGGGTGAAGCTCATCAAGAAACACGAGGTGTTGAAATACGCAGTGGTCAGTGTGGCATATCCCTTTATTGGTCGACTGCTCAAAAGTTCGTTCCTCTCATGGTTGTGCATCGCTAACACATGCAGTCAGACCTTCTGCCCTTCTGACTTGTCGGCGGGTCTTGCCGCGACGGTAGATGCAATTCGCCCTGGATGGACTGTCATTTCCTCACACGCGGTTCTGACCTACTATGTTCGAGACATCCATCACATGATAGGCATAACAAGTGATCCAGACTATCAGAGGATCGGCTTAGATTCGGAGAAGGGATGGATTGATTCCAGTAAGGGTGAAATCATGGTTGGGTACGAAAGGGTCTACATCGAGAACAAGGAGATTGTTGAATAGCAAAGAGATTGTTATGTCTCCTTGAAACCCCGTAAGCTACAGCGTGTAACTTACAACGAATCAATTAGTAGGGGAGGCCTAGCCTGTGCTAAGAGATATGTATGGAGCTAGAGGTATTATCGATCTGTAGCCTAGGTACTTAGATGGACTTTGCCACTGAGCAAAAATCCACTTGAAACTCGATATTGAAGCATCTCTTCAGGTCACTGAGAGTAAAGCCTGTATAGAATAATAAATGCAGAAAATACCTCGCTGTAGCTTACGGAGCTTCAAGGAGGTAGACAAGCCAAAACCAGTAGGGTGTGTTACTATCCGCCTACAAACACGTTTTAGAAAATGTAGATCATGAGGCGCAGGAAGATCTTTGGTGATTACATCAGACGAGAAGGACTTAAGTGCTTACTTCTTTACGTGTACTGGCAATTCTACGGGCCCCGGATACTTCGTGGCACCCATCCGACCCAAGTTCCCGCTCGATGAAGGTGGCTGATTAGCGAGCCGCCCATGTGCCGAGGAGATTTGCAGCCTTACGGAATTGCGAGTATCAAATGGCCACAATGTCTGGATACTCTGAGGGGACGCTTAGGCTTATGCTCTATAAGCTCTATAAGCACGCAATGCTAGCTTGCTGGCCTATCAAAATATGACAGGTTACGCAAGCTGTATGCGGCTATATGCGGATGAGGTGGAGGAGGCACTTTACTGTTGAATCGTGGGGCGAAATATCTTGAGCCTCCCCTAAAAGGAAGTGATAGGCTAACGGGGTAACGAACGATACCTTGTAGTCCTAAAAGACTATGGACTATTGATACTGCTACAATGACGGCCACCCGCGAGTCACACATAATGTTACTGCTTAACGAGGACACACACTTCTGCTGCGCTTCTAGTACTGAAGTCACATAATTGTGTAACTGACTACTGCATGTCTCATCACCGCTTGTACATATTCCGTTATACAGAAGGACTGCTGCCGTAATTCGTATTATATGTCTCGTTTAGAAACCCACCACATACATAACTAGCGGGCTTGGTGTAGCATCGCTCGACCACTACAGCTACCTCGGACGAGGAAAATCAAGAGAGAAAAAACCCCAAAGAATGGACCAACATTTTGGAGCCGACACTAGCATGCCGCTCCGGCAAACCTGTAATCGATGCCGATATCTTAAGGTACGATGCGAAAAGGACAGCCGTAGCTCGTCGGACCAATGTGTGCGCTGTGTGAAGGCCGGGAGTCTTTGTATACACAACCGTAAGTATACATTTCTATCCACATATTGACTGAATTTCTTCGTTCCCTCATCCATTATGAAAATGACCAGCTAAACAGGTAGTATAGGACGTCGGCGTAGTGGACGCCCCTCTGTCAACTCCTCGCACAATGGATCTGGGGATACCCTTTTGAACTCAAACTTAAGCCTGGGCTTGGATATTTGCAATGATAAAACATCCCACCCTAGCTATCCTGACATGATATCGTGGGGCGCTGGAGAGCCGTGCAGTGATTTATCATGGCTAAATTCGAGAGCAATGGCTCCGTTGCCACCACTCAACCAACTTCTGGAGTACGGCGAAGATTCAGCCTATGCGTCGACGTTTGGTTCCGACGTCACTCCAGAACATGAGCTCGAACTCTCAACAAATAAGGTACTGCTGGCGCAGAGTCCTATGGTAGAGAACTTCAGCACCACAATGGACGCAATGGAAACGGACATGCATGAATTGGCGGAATTAAGCCTCAGAGCCTATCGAGTCATGAAAGTGGCCAGTGTCCCTTTAACTGATGAGCTGCAAGAAATGACCCAATCTACTCTCAAAGTTCTTGCCAGGATCGTGACAGTGGTACGGCATCAACAGAACGGAGCCTCTGTTACTAGCAACCAAAGGTCCGACTCTCCGTCCAGCATATATGACAGCCGACAAACTTCCATTGGTCTCGTGCTACAGGCCATCTCGGTTTGTGAGCAAATTTACAACTCATTCGTGCACGCCTGTTCAGCACTTCGCAGCGAGCTGGAAGCCCAATCTGAGCCCGGAATCGATAGCAATAGCAGCGAAAACGACGCCGGGACGTCCGATGCACAGGCCGTCATGACGGTAGAGCTTATCAACTATCTCTTCGAGAAGCTGAGCCGCAGCCATAGACAACTCCTTTCTATAGAGCTCACCACGATCGAACCCTACACATCCTCCTCCTCAAGTATCATTCAGGATGATCCAAGCCCGGATGGAGCATCTATGACAAGTGGTGTCACTGTGTCACCCACACCAACGTGCGGTAGCCCGGCTACTCTGATACCAGTTATGATACAAAGAGCTCAGGGAAAACACACGCAGCTCCATGCCTGTATTCAGAATATCAGAGACTTAACTCGGCAAAAGGACAATATAGAACAATAGATTTTAGAATGCAATATTCAAATCAGATTAAAACCATGAACCATGTCGATCATTAAGTTACAATTGCCATCTTCAAATACCGGAATATGTAGTAAATCGCGTATACTGTTATTCCTAATATTAACCATGGCTCCATGCTTCTTGAATTTTATTTTATGTACCAAACTCTATCCTCGCTTTCAATACGTATAGTAGTGAGTTCACGTTACAAGTGCTTGTCCAAACTCATTGCAATTCGCCTTCGACCACATAAACATTTTGATTTAGTTAATCTCCTAACCCGCACTGAACACTTCTACATGGGGGGTCGCCCAATGCCTCTCATGATATTCACTGGCTTCATCCAAAGTAGGAGGATCACGCCGTTGTCTAATCGGTCAGTTCTTCAATCAACCATTACTGTGTTCTGCCTATCCACTGATCAACTGCATCTCTACGCATTTCCACACTGCTCAGAGTATATAAAGAGCCTGGTCTTCTTACTGTCCACCATTTAGAGCAGGGCACCCCTCACTATGGAGCGGGAGCCCTCTCCCTTGTCTCTCGACATAGGAGTGCTCCTGTAGGCTGGAGGGAGGACTCCAGCAAGGTCCGCCTTGATTTGCAATGCAAGATTCCGTGAATGCCACCTGTGCAACTGCGTATATCCGCCCATAACCCAATAGTTCTCCTGCCTTAAATGACGCTTCCACATCCCGCGAACCTCGCCCTCAGCATCGAGACCCCATGTAGCGTCAACACGGGCCGCAATCTCCTTAGGGCCTAGAAGCCCCTGAGTAGCGACTTCGGTCTCGCCTCCTAAGATGTCGGCCACCGTGTAGCGTGCGTCCTTGTCGGCGAATCCCGTACACCACACGATGGCATCCGCGTCGAGGGTACTGCCATCTGAGAACTGTAAACCCGTCTCTGTGTACGCGACGGGTTCGACATTCGCCTTGACGCCGACTTTGCCGTCCTCAATCAGTTTGGTTGTGCCTACGTCAACGTAATGCCCCCCTGCACGCTCGAGTAGATGGCTCATCAAGACTGCCTTTGGGTTGGCGCTATTAATGACGGGGAAACCTGCCGTGGCGAGAGCCTTGTAGCGTTCTGGTTCCCGTGATGCCAAGAGTCTGAATACACTCTGGCTGAGCTGGCTCTCGATGGGAGATGGCAGGGTTAGGATGAACCTGTCGGCAGCCTCAACACCATCATCATAAATACCGAGGCTAAGCTTGTCGCAAAGATAGTTGAGTGGGATTACATATGTTGGTGACCGGACGTTGAGTGTTGTCTGGAGCTCGGCAAGGTGGCAGTCTTCCATAACGTCGAATGCTGTGTTGGCAGAGCCAATAACAAGGACGGACTACGGATGAAGGTATAAACGTCTGTTCTCTACTGGCGGACTTGAGGCTGCGCAACTCACCTTGGCTCCCAGCTCCTTTAGTTTGTTGCCACTTTTGAAGTCGACCGAGTGGACGCTGATGCCTCTGTAGAGATTCCTCCCCGCAATCGGTGGAATATACAGCTTCTGTGATCCGATGCCTGTTGCCTGAACGAGATGCTTTGAAATAGCTGTGCGCGGACCAGCAGGAGTCTCGAAATTTATCGTCCACTGCTTAGCCGCTTGGTCGTAGACCGTCAACTTGATCTTGGCCGAGTTTATGACATTGAGGTTGAAAGAGGCGACATACTTTCGTATGTGTTCAGCCAACTCCGCCTTGGTAAGGAGGTGTGGGCTTTGAAGTTCCGGACCATAAGCTGTTGGAAGTAAGCCCCGGTGCACGCCGTATTTATATCCAGCAACACATGAAACGTCATTCTGGACAGCATTGGGCGAGACGTAGAAGTAACGTAGTACTTACGCATATATGGAAGGTTGCAGAACGATGTCGGGATGTGAAACTTCATACAATCATATCGGAGAGCCCAGTTATCTCCAGGATGGGCATTCCGCTCGGCCAAGACGGATTCAACACCCAGAGCCTTGAGCCGCGCCGCAAGAGCAACGGCGCTGCACGATGAAAGCCAACCATTAGCCAGAGTCATCGTGGCGCAGTCTATCAATCATCATTGGTCTTGACTATACTTACCTGTTCCCGCCTCCAATGATGAAGACGTCCGTCTCGATCCTATCAATACCATCCAGCTTCTTGGCGGGACCCTGTAGCAAAGCCTCATCTTCGGGATGCACATCAAGATTCTCAAGCTGGGTGCTCAGAACCCAGATCTTCCACTGGATAGCCACATTTCCGTCGGCTTTAACGGGCAGGAGCAGAAGCCTTCCGCTACTAGTAGCAGCTGGGGTGGTGGTTTTGAAAGAAAACCTCGCATCAATAAAGTGCTGATTGGGGAAGAACCTGTCAGCCTCGCGTGTAGAGAATAAAGAAGATCAATGACTGACAAGATCTGGAGACGCTGGGATGAATTGGGCGCTCTCGAGCTTAAACGTCCCAGCAAGGCCTCTCAGTTTTTGGAGCTCCAGAAGGGCTAAGGCAATGACACCAGGAGTGGTGAAAGTACGCAGATGAAAGGTTAGTGCCAGAGCATCCTTAAAGTATGCTTGATGAGAGAAGAAGACTTCTTTCAGCGCTTTCGTATCGTCGCCCTCTAGGGCAGCGCTAAGCGCATCCAGCACGACTGCAGCCTGCCTTATGGTTCCCTCGGGAGTCAAGGACGCTGTCTCTAAGGTGCCTGGTACAACAACGGGTAGAGGATACTCGGCCATCAGCGCACGCAGGTCACCTCGAGAAGGATATTCCTCGTATAACGGAACTGAATCCACGGCTGATTACAAAATGTTAGCTTAAGGAGGTATGACGTTAGGTCCACCACGCCATGGTATGCTCACCGGCAGGCATGTTTGGATACAGAAGGTGGGGGTTCCTGTGCCAGCTCAAGGCCATACACAATATTTAAATGATGGAGAAGATGAGTCTCTCTTGAGCTACTAAGGCCTGAAGATGGAGACAGATATATGTACAAGGGTTGAGGTTACAGTCGGCTATTAAGGCTTGCAGTGCTTCAACGTGCTTAGCCAAAGACCTGATCACCTGATGAATAGGAGTATCCTCTCCCTAAGCGGCGCCCACCTCGCAAGTCCCGTGGGGGTGCCATGTTCGCTTTCCCCGCGAGAGAATAGCAGCATCATGTGGGGGAAGGGGGAAGATCAACATCAACCAGCAAAGCTCGGGCGGGGAGTTCGGCATACCCCCACAAAGACGGGGAGTGACTATTCTTACCAAGTTGTTATGTGGGGTACAACCAAACCAACGACCCTAGGTTTTACTTTGAGTAATAGCGAGAAGTCTTGCGGCTTTTTCCATTTCTCTTCTTCTTTGTCTCCCTTGGCCGGCATCTCCTCACCCTACAAGAGATTGGCCAAGATGGAGCCCCTGCCAAATTCAATAGTTGCCCCTATGCTGCCGTTAAGGATTGGGCGTGTCCCATAGAAACGCTCTCTGTACACCCGCATAGTGTGGCAGGTCTTCTATTTGCAATTGAAAACCACACCTAAATTAGTATTGTACTAGTAACGGATGCCGGCGACGCAAAATTACGTGTAATGGAGGAAGGCATTGCACGCAGTGTTTAGGCGCGAGGGTCGCCTGTACCTATCGACCGAGGAAGCAGGTGCCTACTAAGGTGGGCTAATGAGATACTGATGACCTGCAATAGACCTAACTTGGTTTACTTAGTGATATCGACAAGCCTTGTGCTGTGCTATCCAGCCTATGAATGGAAATGTGTGCCATTTTTGAGTCAACACATAGTAGGTAGACACCATCAGAGTCTGCAAGGTTAGGTGAGCTTCCACCTTAGAAGATGCCAGCACACGCACAGTCCAAAGGTAGAGTGAGTTCTCGAGGCAATGTGTCATCAAGTTACGTCTATGTAAACCCTCATTTAGTACTTGCCAAGGTATCAGTCGTAGGTTGTTTCAAATTCCCTCCAAATCAGCCCGAGCCGGCTCCCCTGCCCATGCTCGTCGGATCAGCTCACGGATTGGCCCTCTCTCAATCTCTCTCGGGTTCCAGTACGAGTTGCTTGTGGCGATGTCGGCGGCCCTGTCAATGTCCTCCTCCTTCATCCCCAAGTCTCGGAGCCTTGTGCTGACTTGAAGCTTGGCCAGGAGCACATTCAAGCCGTGAATTGCGTCACCATTGCTTCCTGGCAAAACAAGGGCCAGCCTCCTCATTGCTTCGGGCACCTTGAGCGCGTTGTAGGAAAGGGCGTGAGGTAAGAGTGCGGTGTGTGTTTCGGCATGAGACAGATTGAAGCTGCCGCCTAAAGCGTGACAGAGTTTATGGTGCAAGCACATGCCTACGCTGCCCAGACACGTTCCGCAGAGCCAAGCTGATGGCCTTTCCCAACCCAATTGTGCTGCCCCCTCCAATAGAGACCACACAGTCAGCGCCTCGAGACTTTGCGTAATCGATAGCCTTGTCGGTTACTGCTGCTGGAGTATGCATCGTGGCCTCTGTAAATATCCCAACCGCCTTTCCTTGGAGGATATCCACGAGCTGTTGGGCGTGATCGATTTGATTCGGGGTGGACAGAACTAGAGGCTTCGACAAACTAAGCTGATCCAGCTCGTTTATGACCTTTTTCAGGCTACCGTTCCCGAAGACGATACGGCTCGGACTTTCGTTATACTCAAAAGAGTCCATCTCTAAATCGTAGCTAGCGGTGGGAGGGACGTAAGCAGCGAAAGGCGTGACTCAAGTTAAGCTAGAGGGAACCAACGCCTTTGTAGTACCGAGTGTCTAAATACTTGCTACTGGCTAGTTCTATGGTTACCGGCTTCTATTTCAACCCCCCAAGCTCCATCAGCCGGTGGTGTATTCATCCCAACCCTTAAAGGGATCCCCACACAGACTTCCGAGTGGTGAAATGGCGCCTTCATGCAAACATGGCTACTCGGATGTGGGGTGTGGGGAGACAAACTAGAAGATTCTGCAGGTGAGATGGCAGAGTAAACTTGGCTTACAAGTTGCGGTTCCGAGGTTAGTAAGATGGGCAGTAGAGATGGGGCAGGGTCACAGCTAGGCCTCAAATTTCCGCTGAGGATCAAAGTACCATGTCCAGTTGCAGAGGGAACACTATGTTGGACAAAAGCGAGACTAAGCTAACACGTTGCATTGCTGCAAAGATTACCATGAAAGAGCCCTACGTCACCTAATCCAGATCAGGGACTGGCAAGTGATCAACCAGCTTGCATTTCCTCCCCGGGAAAAGCTTTGAAACTGCTTCTAATGCATTCTTATCCCTCAGTGCTTCTGTCTCTTGCTCTGTTACCAAGACGAAATCATACGTCAGCAGCGCCGTGCCTTCAGGCACATCGTATTTTCTTGCCTGCTCTGCAGTCAGCTTGCCCAGTGGGGTGACTAGGCTGGTCTTAACACCAAAGACGGCATCAGAACTGAGATATTGATCGGGTGGGATGTACAGGGCTCTATGGACACACTTGAGTTAGTAAGAGCGTTGGTTGAAGGACCAGGAGGGGATTAAACTTACGTGATGAGATGATCCCAGCCTGGCTTTTCAAACATGAAGTGCATGTGAGCTGGCCGCCACGGGTGACGATGCAGTAGCTCGAGCAGCTTCCCAACAGGCCCATCATGCGGAATAGGGTAACTGACCGGTCGAATAGCCTTGAACCAGAAACTGCCGTCTGCATCCGTTAACAGGACCGCTCTACCGTCTGGATTAGACCTCTGTTGGTATTGCACATCGTAGTGACCGCTGCTGTCCGTCTCCCAGACGTCGACCTTGACGCCCTCGACGGGGTTGCCCTCGCGATCCTTGGCGGTGCAACACACAAGCAATGGCTCCCCATTAGGATCTGCTGATATCGGTTCGCCCGAAGGTTGCACGACCGCGTCATGGGTGTGGAAGGGCCCAAGGACAGAGCCCTCAGTTGCTTTATCTGGTTTCGGGTGGTCTAATGCGTCGACGAGGAGGCAGAGACCGAGGACGTCGGATAGGAGGATGAATTCCTGTCACCAGTTAGCCTTCCTTCATCACCTCTCAGACTCCTGCCGTGGGACGAGACGTGAACATACTTTCCTTACATCACTGCTAATCTTGCCCACCTCGACGAGGAAATTTAGTCCGGCACTCCATTCTCGAGTACTCAGCCTCGTCTCGCGGGCAAAGTCGTGAAGATGGGTGACTAATCGCTCAAAGACATATGTTAGTCGCTCGTCCGGATTTTGCGAGTTGATGAGGATCGTCTTTGCGGTGATATTGTCGATGGACAAGTCAGCCATCGGAGGCACATCCCCTTTTGGGATGCTCATTATTATTTATCTTGTGCTTACTAGCTTTTCCTAGCCTGGGGCGTGGTCGATACCACTAGGTTTTAATGATACACGACTGGCAATGCAATGTGGAGAGGACTTCCTCCACACTAGCCGGTGATGATGACTCCTCACCTCGAGACACAGCTAAAAGGAGTAAGGGTCTCGCCCACATGGTTCCGGTCAGCCCCTGGGGTCCGAACAGACACAAAGCACAGATAGCTCATACTAACTACCTTAGCCATGATCAAAGACCAACTCATAGCGGGGCTGTGGCTGTTCCTTGAAAGACGATCCGAATAGTCATCAAGCCGGTTTCTGAGGAGGAACCATCGATCGTAGATATGGTAGCTTATCCTCCACGCATATTTTACCTCTATGGACGTATCAATGTATTTATTGTGTTGAGATGTCGAGTCTGGTCTTTTCCATTGCTGTTTTTTTACTTCATACTCAAATTCTCCCACAGTATGGACGTATCAGTATTTGACGCGACGGTGATTCAATAGAAGACGCTCGCCACGTCTTGTCACTTTTCTCACCCGGAAGGTCTATCAAGAGCAAGAGCGTCAGTTCGAACTATTGATTAGACGAGCTTAGGAAAGGTGCAACATTGGTTGTAGTTACATGCCACTATGAGAACCGCAAAATAAGGCAGAAATTTACTGAATCATGTATCATTGTTTCTGTTACTTCCGTCTAGTTGAAGTTAAGTTAAGTAGATGTAGCTATGGTGTGACGAAGATTGGACAGGCATTCCGGTGCCAGCAATGCCAGGATAGCAGCCTGGATCCTATTTAGTCCTCTCCCTCCTATTCTTCAAACGGCAGATCAACCCATTCTGAACGGGAAACCTATTCGCCGTTTTAGCCCAATGTAAAAATCTCCATGGGGTGTAAGCATAAGAGAATTGCGTCTTACCAGTAGTTGATAGTAGTTAAATTCTTAGCTGGTGACACCAGAGTAATATCAAATTCTCGAAGTAACTGTGGCACTACCTTGGACATCTCCTACACAAGAAACAAATTGGTCAGTGCCAATTCGAATCAAGGGCATTTTCAACAGCGGCGATTCCCAGACGGAAGGGGAAGGAAGGGTAGATACTGACCATCATGGATATGTTTTTGCCAATGCAAACTCTGCTCCCAGCACCGAATGCAAGTGAGGATCGCTCCATCTCCTTGAGCTGCTCAGGATCTGCTTCCAGCCATCTTTCAGGCCTAAATACATCGGCATCCTCACCGTAAACGTCCCTATCCCGGCCCACAACCCAAGGGTTTATCCCTACAATATAACCCTCCGGAAAGAACTTGCCGCAGATGGTGGCACCGCCTTTTGGCACATGCCTTTCCAACAGCATGCCCACGCTCGGGTGCATCCTCATTGCCTCCTTAATGCTTGCTTGTAAATACGGCATCTGTCTCGTCTCACTCTCCTTAATTGGATCTGATAACTGGCCGGCCTCGTCTAATTCGTCAATCTCACGCTGCAGCTTGTTGTAGCATACCGGATTCGTGATGACATTGTGGATGATAGCCCGGAGGGCAATAGCTGTAGTGTCGCTCCCTGCAAGTATATTGGTGCTGGTATGGTTGATGATGTCGGTATCACCAAAGGAGCCACCGTCGACGCCTCCTCGAGAGCCCTCCTCCGCCATCTTCTGGAACCGGACGAGGAAATCGTCCTGGTCTGGTGCCGCTCCTTGCTTATTCATGTTCATGCATTTGATAGCGAAGTTGACGGCCGGGTTGAACGTCTCAATAGCGGGCATCACAATCGGTAAGAGAGGGTTACCAGCGAGTAGCTTGTGAAGCCACGGAATCTGTCCGACAACAGCTGCATAAATGAAGAAGGATCCGATGGATCCAATGATGTTGTCAATGTCCTTTGACTCTTCAATGAACCCAATGGTCCTAGAGAATGTAAGATTCCCGATCACGTCGAAAGCATACCATCTATTACATTGTCAGCCAGTGCCAAGCGAAGCTACGAGGGTTGTTCCACATACTGGAGCCACTCTCCGAGATCAAATGATTGGTTGGCGCTCTCGAATGCCTTTAGTTTTTGCATCAAAAGCTTTGACACATGGTCTATCTTAGGCTCGAGAGCAGTTAGGGCCGCCATGCTATAAGTATGTGCAATTGGGCGCTTGATCCGACGATGGTACGACTCATCGCGAGTGGCGAAAAGATTGAGAAGCGGCTTCTTCTGATAGCGGACCGCCTGGATCGGGTAGAAGGCAGTCTTGGTGAAGCCTCCATTAACTGAATAAATAGTCTTGACAGCTGCAGGATCACCAACGGAAACGTGTCTAGGTCCCACGCGAACCAAAGGGCCAAACTGACGATGAAGCTTGATTGCTAAACGGATTGTGAGTAGTCTGAGGATATCACGGCAATGGATGCTCACCTGTATGCTGGGAGTCGCCTTTGTAAGTGTCCCAAGTCTTCCATAAGCTGGAGAAGCTCGCCAAAAAGGGGCCTGGTATATTGTACAGATGCCGGTCAAATTTGGCAGACAGGTAGTAGAGTGCCACAATGCCTACTGCCAGCGGGAACAAGTGAGATGCAACATGTGAATAGTAGAGGCCCACGAGTTGTGGTGGCAGCACCGGCCAATGAAGCTGTGGGAGGAGAAGCCCCATGTTTTGACGTTTGGGAGGAAGGGTCAATAGAGGCACACGAAATGCGGTTATGGTAGGAGGGAAAGGGCTTAATGGGATGAATTTAATTGATCAAGCAAACGGGCATACAGTCTTGACAGTGATACTGAAATAAATACAAGCCCAGGACTCTTTAGATGGGCACTCACTGCTCGTGATCCCCTCCTTTCTCCCCACTTGCTGCCGGCAAGCTGCAGATCCCCCACATTGCTCCGAGTGGAATGACTCTTCACGAGAGGTCGTTTGTCTCCGGGCAGACATGTACTGGTGTCGGACCCCCTTTTAACGAATCATGCAAAACGCAACTGGTCACTGTGCTTCAACACCAACCAATTGGGTGCTCGAAGGACCTGGTTCGCGGGAACTTGGCAGCTAAAGTACCAGGTTTTGGTGCTTTGCGTGGTTACGTTTGGGGACTACAGCAGTCTGATATGAAAGTGTACGCAGATCGAGTCGTATTACGCCATAAACCTCAATTTTCGTCCGTTGTTTTTCCCAGCACTACTTTGGGGGAATTCTATCATGCACGCACACAAACACTCGGATTAATGAAGTATATTAGAAATTACCACAGTGCCCTAATAATAGACTGAGGGCCATAATTCTCCGCTCTCCTTGAGCCGGGTGCAATCTAGCCCCTAACATAAACCTTGCTTCTTCAGATCCAGTGCTCGTTGCGTACATTTAGCCGTCCATGTTGTAGACAACATTCAATCACGCAGTCCAAGAAGTGACTTTGCCTCTGGTCTCGTCATCGGACTGCGAGCTAGGGGTGATGGCGACGTGTGTTGTGCGCGTCACCATGACCACGTTATTACCATCCCGTAGCTGTTCCTGTGATTCGGGCCTGTTCAAGTCAGACATGGGAATCCCGACTTCCTTCATCTTATAGAACATGTTTGAAGCCGTCGTGGACTTGGACATCTTGTGGGACTTGGAACGGGGCCTGATGTTGGATTCGCAGTTTGAGGGGCCAGATGACTGTAAGCTGATGCCCAGCGCCATCTTAACCCTACGGGGCAGCCCCGATTCGGCGATCACGCGAGGGATGCAGGGCACGCTGAGAATGAAGAACCCGCACGTCATCTCCGCGAAGGTCCAAAACATGAGGGTGCTTATAAAGTACATCTTGTCAGGGTTTTGGGAGTAGTTCACCGTATAGGCCAGACGGAAACAGGCCGCAACTGAAGCACTAGTTAACGTGAGTACGTAGAAAACAGCCGCGAGGGGGGACATGCTGGAGCAACTGACAGTAGACCGACGCCGAATATAACCGAAACGCCCAGCTTCTTCTGCCAATTGATATGCAAGCCCCAAATTGTCTTTTGTGGTAGCAATACCATAGACAGGTCGATTAGAAGTTGGATAGTGGCCGATGTGAGCATGATCTTGGATAGCTCAAAGCATTTACTCGGAAGATAGAACTCCCAAATGGCCCTATGCGGGACGCACTGTAGGTTCAAAAGAAGAACACAAACGAACCCCCAGATGCACTGTATCACAATAAGAACCATACAGGTCCACCAAAAACCGCTCCGAGTCGGGCTTGCAGGAACAAAGAGTCGACACCAGTCGAGAAGGATGGCCGTTTTCAGGAGTGGGAGGACAACTGAGTAGCAGCAGCCGTAAACGAGTATAAGCTAGGCTTGGTAAGCTATTTTCAGCACGTGCTCTGGGGGATAATGGGCAAGACTTACGTATAGAGGACGTACAAGGTCCTTGTTGTAGAGATTCCACGTGTGGATGAAATAGCCAGGGGTTGATGTGAATGCATAAGCAGCGTAGCCTGTGCCCCAGAACGCTCCCTACCATAGTATGGTCAGTGCCTCATTATAACGGCAGTAGGGCGTAAGCCTGATGAAGAAAGTAACTGGTGGAAGACGAACGTATGCGCAGATCATCAAGGCTAAGAGTCGAGCACTATCATCAGTGATGCCCTTGGTCAAGATCCAGTATCACACATTACCTTCTTCAAGATGAATTCTCCTTTCCAAACATATCCTAGCGTATGTATGGAGGAGGAGAAATAAAGTGGAAAGGACGATACAAGATGTTATAACACTCAGGGCAAGGCCGTTTTGATTAGGAGGATGATCAAAGTTCGGGGTCACATCGGCCGGTGGCGTGAGGGCTGGGCCGTTGAGCAAGGTGTCGAGAGAGTCGGAAGACATAACAAAGGTGGTAGGGAACAGGGTTACCAGTCAGCTTGGAACGTGGGTCGAGATAATTGCAAGTCCAGTCCAAGAGGATGCCAAATGATGGGACGCTCCAATGTTGCAGGCGCATAACCGCGAGCTCAGTAGAGACAAGAGAGCAGATTTAAGTAGCTCGACCGGCTCATTATCTCCTATCATACAACAAATTGGCCTCATTTGTTTCCATTTGTCAGAGTTCAGCCACAAAAGCTCAGACCCTTATACCCAGTCGATCAAGACTTCTAACAGAGAGGAAAGGCATCAAGCAGATCGACATCGACATCGTTTCGCCCACACACTAGCCGTACAAGTTTAATGAGGGCCTACCATTAGCTTGGGGCCACACTCGCCACCTGTTGATTCCGGAGACATGGGCCAAGCTGGGATTTACGGTACCTCTTTATGTTGTCTTGCAAGCTTCTCAGCAAGCCAAAGTTCCCCACGTGAAATGAACAAATCACGTCCCATCTCCTTGGACATGATTTCAGAGCCACTAAGACGTAATTACGGCACGTGCGAAGTACGAGAAGCCGTAATTGATGCATCTCCGCGGATCTCCGGTTTAAATTAGCTGCATCGGAAACGCTTCGGATGCTGAAGAGATCCCGGTCCGATGAGCAAGGTTTAATGATTCTCGTCGTTGTTAGAGCGGATGCGAGGTTACCCTGGACAGGTTCGGTTCACCACACTCAACAAGTTGAATTGGGTACCTTGGAGGGTATTAGAAACGAAATTATAACTCATGTATTTTTTCCCAGATTTATCACTAAAAATGTCAAGTGTCTCCGTTTGACAAAGTAACCGCATCTCAAGGGGTTGAGCCACAACAACAATACTCTTACTACACAAGTCCTACCAGCATCATTAGAGACATGTATTCCCCTTCTTGGGTCAAGGCAAGCACTCCGTCTAGTCCCCGAAGGAAGTGTCAAACTCTGGATATCTAACATGTCAGGGTACAGCTCGAGAAAGACCTCGGCGGTGTCAGGCCTGTTCTGAAAGGAACCGCAGAGGAGATGAGAGCTCAATTCAGCGGTCTTGGGTCTGCCTTAGCACCTTTATATCCTCGCCCCTCCACCTCCGTCAAGACCGAGCACGGCAAACTCGACACCATCGAATATCGTGTTTACACTCCTCTCAAATCTGAAAACGATAAACCATTTCCGATCGGGGTGTACTACCATCCTGGAGGCTTCGTACTTGGACCCAGCGACTACGACGACGTCTTTTGCCGTGCCATCGCCGAAAGAGCAAACACCATCATCGTCAGCGTGCAATATAGATTGTCCCCGGAACACAAGACACCTGCACACCTTGATGATGCGGTGAAGGGTTTCGAATGGGTACGCAGAGCACCCTCCCAATGCCACTCGTTACCTCCGTACCCTCATTTGCTTACACTTACTCACCTAGGCCTATCGGAATGCTACTCGACTTGGAGGCGACCCTACATGCATGTATGCCGTGGGCGTTTCAGCAGGAGCTGGACTTGCCCTCTCCATCTCGCGCCGCATCGCCTTGGGCCATTCCACAGCAGACCCGGAAGCCGTCAAGGGAATTGTCGCTCTCTGCCCCTACGCGTTTCATCCAGAGAACATCCCGCAGACGTACAAGGCGGCCCACACGTCCTCTCAAGAGCACATCGATAACGTCCCCATGATTGACGGAACTTCGATGCGCCAGTTCTTCGAGTACGCCGGGCTCCGTCCGGACGATGAGGATTACTTTCCTCTTCTGGACCGGGATCACCACAAGAATTTCCCTTCCACGTACGTTGTGACTTGCCAGTTTGACCCGCTGCGGGACGATGGGAAAGTCCTGGCGCAAGCTCTTTCGGCGGCAGGAGTCCCGGTCAAGACGAATCATTACACTGGCCTTCCTCATTGTTTTCGGGTGTTTCCTTCTGTAACCGAAGGCGAGACGTTTATGAATGATACTCTTGATGGGCTTAAATGGGTGCTGAGCCAGATTTAAGATAGGGAAGTGACAATGAGATATTGGTTCTTCTTTACTTTGGGAGTGTACATTATTATGTTCCATGCAGACTAATCTTTCCTGACTACCCCCTTACTAAAAGTGTTCAGGTATCGTCGTTTTGTATGACGCCGTCATCGGTCAACCCTTCCTCAAGGGAGTACACCCTGGTGTCCACGGTGGGAAGCGGGAGAATATTGTCCAAGGAATCAACCATTAATGTCCCTGGCGACACAGGCAAGATGATGTCTGACAAGGGTCCAAGCCCAGGCACCATGTCCGAGAGCACATGACCTATGTCTATCAACGACTGAGTCTCAGAGCCGACGGGGCTGAGAAAATTGCCCTGGTCCGAGCCAGAAGACTGGTGCACATCTGTGACAGGCGCAGGGCCAATTGCAGGCGGCCAGACGAGCTGCCGCAGTCCGTCTACGGTGGCTCCTCCATGAAGCGGCAACTGGGTGCCAAAATTGGCGTCGCAAGTCCCAAATAACCCCCTGAAGAGGAGGCTTTGCCGTTCCATTTTGCGGCGCTCCCTCCTCTCGCGGTACAAGTCGCATGCGGCCTGGAGCTCATCCACAGCGGCTAGATTACTCCTAGCGACGGCATCATGCCGGCTGAACAGTAGAAGCAACGTTCGCGCGTCCAGAAGATGCTCGTGGAGGGGAAACATGCGGTCCAGGTCGCCAAATTGCGCCAGCCCGAGCACTAGGGCAGCGACGAACAAGCAGTTGACCACTATGGGCAGCCTTTTCGGCACGGCTACGGTTGAAATCAGCCCGCGTAGTAGGGCCACGGTGCGGATTGCTGCGTCGACGGACGCATGGGCTAAGGCCTGGTTGGATAAGCGAGTCGAGGTTGTAACTTCATCTAAGCCCGATTCTACCGTGGCATTGGATGTATGCCTGGATACAGTGTCGATTAACGAAGGCCGTGTGATCAGCATGATGGTCCAGTAGTAGGCTTGCATAAGGTGGTAGAAGCTGATATTAGGTGCTCTCTTCCCCTCGCCCATATCTTGGATCTCTCCTGGTGGAATGGCGTCGTTGGCTAATCCAGTAGAATATCTTGAAGCCCATTGTCGGTGATATTGGCTGATACGCTGTACCACGACAGTTGATACCCTAGGTTTCGAGTAGACCTGGGTAAGAATGACCTCAAAGATGGCGCATAAATCGTTGGCGGCCGAGTAATCAGCCTCGGCCCCTGTATTCCGTGTCTCGTACGTCGACGGTGAACGGCCAAGCGATGCGCCTAGGAAGAGGTCGAGTATCCGTAGGACCTTCCACAAGCGCTCCCGCAGGACATACTCTGATGAATCAAAACTCTTGTTGATGTCGAGTCGATGAACACCCAGGGCATAGGCCGCACGGATCGCAGCACCTAGATACATGGAGGCGGCGTCTGACCGTGAGGCTCCGAGGAGGTACACGGCGATGAGTACGTTGGCCTGGATGGTAGAGATGGCCGGTTCTTCCATGAGATGCGACATGGTTAAGAACCGCCCATAATTAAAGTACTTCTCAGCGATAGCTTCTCTATCGTCGGGAGCGGCCTGAGCGCCAACTGCGAGGACGAGGAAGAAGACGGCGCTCGTGCTCGTGTCTCGCTCTGGTCCATCCTCGTCATTCTGTAGCCAGCTCAACAGACCCAGACGGAGTTGTGAGGCGTCGAAAAGATAGACAATGCAATTTGTAGCACGTAGATACCACCATAGGAGATAGTCGACCTCGAATGAATCGGGTTTGCCAGGTGGCTGAAGCGCTACATCAATGGCCCAGTTGGACTTTGACCTGCTGGAGGGAGCTGCCACATGTTGACTTTGGTCCAGAAGGGTCTGTACGGGTGGCTTGTCACAAAGCGCAGAGTAGCCCAGGGAGTCGTGGACTATGCGGCGGATGACTTGGAGGAAGGCCAGATTCGCCGCGTTGCCAATGCACATGGGCTTGCCATGGCAGTCCTGGACCAGACGCGACAGCTGTGGAACAGGGGCAACTCTAGGGCTGTGGAAGACGTGCGATGACGGAGTGAACTCGCTATGTTGGGTCAAGTTGGTGGACATGGAGCCAGGCGACGAGGGATTTAGCGAAGGGCCGGTGGAGTCGGGTTTGTTGTGCCTGTCAAAGGAAAAGCCATGGCCGAGATTCGTCATGGGTGATATGGATGCAGGAACGGGCCTATCAAAGATGCAGTCCTGGCCAACGCCGCGTGCGCTGCATCGCCCGCAGGGACGGAGGTCATCACAACGTTCCTTACGACGCTTGCAGCTGGTACAGGCCTGCACAGCGCGACGACGTTCGTGTTTTCTGACCTTTCGTGAGGGCATATCGTATGATTGGCGCACCTTTGGAGGAGAGGGAGAAGAAAAAAGCCGGAGCAGGGGAACGAAGCCGAGAGCAACAAGGCAGGGAGGGAGGGAGTTCGCCACACCATCTGGAGTTTGTGGGGACCCCGGACGATCGAGAGGGGCCATAATCCGGGGGATGGAGTAATTTGTGGGGGGTTCAGGATGGACTAACGCACGCATCCGATGGCTATTCCGAATCGATCATCCCGGCTGCCGGGATGGTTCAGCAGATCCGAGGTTAGCATACACACATGTATCTCTTGGACTGTAGACCCAGTGGATGGATACTTGTGGCCACAAATGAAGCTCTTATTTGCAGAGAAGCCAGTGGACACAAGGAGCTGATGTACCGCAATATACTTGGAAAAGACAATCATACGTTTCATAGCTAGACCCACGGGCTTTTTCACAGTCAAAGAGATAAGTATGTGCGGAAGAATAAGAACTGGCAAGTTTCTGCCATCACATACAGAGGTTCCTGACCCCGGAATATCTGCCCAAGAACGATGACTGCTGCAATCATCATCGCCAACAACGACGATGACAACCGTATTTTCCCTTGTACCGTCTTAGACTGTGACAAGGCCTACCGGCGGAACGAACATCTCATCCGTCATCTTCGATCACACAGACTCCAGAAACCATTCATCTGTCCCAAGTGCCGCAGAAGCTACGGTCGACAGTGAGTCCTGGCCCTGCCCTCCCCCCTCGCCTCGGTGGCTGGCCATCTTGGCTAATCTTTGTGGCCCTAGGGATGTTCTCAAACGACACATTGCTCAGCAGCACCCGCTAGTCGCGCGCCCCCGCGACTATGGACGGCACCAGCGTCGAGCCCTCTCCGCCTGCGACCGTTGCCACGCCCGCAAGGCCCGATGCACGGGCAAGTCCCCATGTCAGCCGTGTCTAGAGTCCAACAACACCTGCCAATACTCTCGAGTCGCGTGCTCTAGCAAGGACCGAACCGAGTCAAATACACCGTCAGCAACTACAACAGATCCATCTATAGAATCCGACAGTCCAAGACTCGCCTCGCAGACTCCTCTGCCCGGCCTCAGCCCTCGGTCTGTGCAACTTGACTACGATGCATTCTCGGATGCTAATAGTCTTAGCTCTGGGACTGAACACGATGGCCATCTTTCTACGGCAATGCCATACTCCCCATTGAATGGCCCCGAGAAGATGCCACTCATAACCCCATATGTCCCCAACGATAAGCTGCGGAATCTACACGACTGCGAGCCATCGAACATTGACGACGAAGAACCCGCTCAAACTGACCAAACGCTAACCTCTGTAGGTGCCGACACCCAGCGCAGCGACATAGATCCTTGGCTGCCAATTTGGTCTCCTGATTCGTATAGTATCATTCAGATAACAGCGAACTCCAACGACCCCTATTCAGGGGCCTCGACAACATCCGACGTATCTAGGAATACCGAAACAACCATGATATCTACTGATGATACCACTGTTTATACTGGAGACCTCTTCGGATTTGCAGATAGCAGCACATTTCCGAACTGCGACATCTTCAACATCCAGGCTGATATGCAAAGCCAAGGGATCAGTCTTGATCCTCCTTTACGCAGACACACCAATGCTGCCCAAGATTCCTGGGTTCATGCTCCGTCCGCCCTCTCTACCTCCGCACATCCCATGTCGGGCGCAAATACAGATGACGCCGCTTTACATCCAGTTTATGGACCTGCATCGACCGTGGCGCCCATCTCCTGCCAAAACGAGCATCCCGATGTTGACACGAGTGTGGCTACTGTGCCTGCATTTCCGCCAGACAGTCAGACCCGTCAGCAGTGCATCAACACGTACTTTTCCAGGTTCCACCGTTTATGGCCGACGGTACACAGGAGCACATTCACCACCGAGTCGAAGAACCAGGACCTTGTCGACAGCGTGATCATGATAGGGGCTTGGCTCTCAGGTATTGGCACGTGGATGGAAACGGCGCTCCGTCTTCATAAGTCGATTATGGACAGGCTTGCTGCGAAGTTGGTGGGTGACGGCCAAGTATCATGTATGGCGCTATGTGCTAAAAAAGGACCTTGAACCAGTTCGACTTCTCTTCCCAGCAGGGAGCTAGATCACGTTGGCCAGTACCTACCTATCAGGCACTGATGTTGAATGTGATATTTGCACTGCAAAGCTCGGTAAGTGTCAACTTTCTTTCCATCGCTAGTATTCTCTCGCTCTGCCATGCTCGTTGGCTCTGGGATCAGTAGAGTTCTTGCATAATTCCTTGATACTGATATATCAGATAGGATGATATGTTGTTCAGCACAGCATACCTACAGCACAGCATGATGATAGGTGTATTCCGAGACGCAGGTTTCTTTCAAGAGAACTATACCCTTGCACAAGATGACCGCAACGATGCAATTCCAAGCGGCTGGCTTGAGCGAGAGACGTTGAAAAGGTCCACAGACAACACAATGCCCCCCCATCAGCTGGCGGACCTCGTTAACATGTCGTCCCCAGGTTAGCATACCTAGCTTTTAGACTGGACATTTGCTTTTATTTCTTGCGTGGATTCCGTCCCACCCTACGATACGATGAGCTCTACCTGACGCTGCCGTGCTCCGAAAGCCTCTGGGAGGCGCAGACACTGGAAGAATGGCACCGGGTCAAACGCATCGAATCGAAGAAGCGGAGCGCAATATACTTTGTGAACCTGGTGGACCAAGCCATGGACCAAGAGGGGCGAGCAAAGTTGCCTCCGCTCCTAGAAGACGAGTATTTGTACGGGCTCTGTGCCATGCAAGCCTGGCTATGGGAGGATGTTCATAGGCACAGGTCTCGGACAGAGACAAGGCATGCCATACCAGCGGCAGGAAACTTCTACCCGGCCTACTTCTCCCGGAGCATTGACTATTGGGCGACACAACTAGCGACCTGGAGGGAGTGTTATAGAGATCGAGCCCTCGGATGCACGCTTTCGTCCAAAAGCCACAGGGAAACATGCGACATCAGCGCCGTGCCGCTCTTTCACCTATCCCAGATTGTTCTCAGGGCCAATTTACAAGCCATCAAACAGCTGTCCTCCGAGCATGGGCATCGATCCTACTCGGGGACTTTCATGAGACAGCTGGAAGCGAGCACACTGGGGTGGGTGAAGACGTCTGATGCGCGGCTGGCGATGTGGCATGCCGCCAAGGTCCTGAAGCTCGTGCAGGAAAAGACCGGAGGCGAGGCAGACGGAAGCGACGACGCCCACGCCGCACCTCGCCTGGAACTCATCGCCTCGATCGCGCTGTACGAGGCCGGGCTGGTCGTCTGGGCTTACACACGTTCGGTCCAGGTCTGCGATGCCTGTGTCATAGGCTCGAGCCTGCAGGTGGCCAGCTCCGACCCGGACCCCTTTGAGCTGTTCGGCACGGAACAGGATCAGCCTTTCCTGGAGTGGCTGGAGCACGGTGGGCGGGAGTCGCTTGAAGGGACCATTGTGTGCGCTTGCAGGCTGCGGAGCGTGGTGGGAGCATATGAGGCGGCCCTGTTGCGATGCGGCTCCCAGTGGCGCTGTGTCTTGCAGATGGCGAACTCGCTGTCACGGCTCAAGCAGGGCGGCTAGGGGGGTTTGGGGGTTTGGGGGTTTCACGGATCTCGTGAGGTCACTTAGAACAAGCTTGTGTAGTGGTATGAACTGTAGGAGCCAAGCTGCGTTCCGGCATACATTACGAAATGGTAGCATGGCAAGGCGTGTTGTCCAAGGGACTACCTAGGCACTATTTGTGATGGAGAAACCATTCGTGGAATTCATCGTCAGTACAAAATGGCCCAAGCCTTGATCACTTGGTTTAATAAAATGCTTGGTGATATCAGAGTACGGTATTCTAGCATGAATTGGTGGCGGAATGTTTCATCGTGCAACCTTCCCCTCTTGCATGAAAATGCGACAGTGCCCAGCCAGAAACGCACAGCTGTCCATGTCAATAAATAAGATTGGACACAAAGAAGTGAGGGGTACATACATCTCAACTGTCATTATCCCATCCCACTGACGAAGTGGACGTATGCAAACTCGCTGCACTTCGTCCTTGCTCTAGCCATCGACAATGATGCCGCAATGGCGCCTGAAAGACGTTGCGCCCGCAGTTCCACAACCCAGAGGCGGGTGTGTTTGAATATGCATTTCGCGGAGGTGTCAACGTCGTCGTTGGCTTCAGAAGCCGCTCTGTCGCGGCACCATCTTCATCAACAGTACGAACGCAGACCCGTCCGTCCCGCCGCTCATTGATTTTAACACAATCTCGAATCCTATGGATCTTCTCTTGGCAAAACGGGCACTGCGAAAAGCAAGAGCGTTCATGAGTGCCGAAAGTGTTGCCTCACCTGGGCCAGTGGAGGTTTCTCCGGGGCCAGATATTCAATCAGATGAAGACGTGGAGAGAGTTATGAGAGAGCCGTTGATTAATCCCAGCCTTTATCACCCCGTGGGAACAACCGCCATGGTGCCTCGGGACCTGGGAGGTATGTATGGTGGACACGCGGCTTCGAGTGTATGGGGTGGAGGGCTTGTCGGTCGTAGACGCAAGTGTGATGCCGTTGCTGCCAGCTGCGCATACACAGGCGACTGTATATTCTGTAGCAGAGTATGCTACAGATATTCTCCGTGTCCGCCATTGATTGTATCTTGACAGGTGACGATCAACGACGTTTCATCGCTTCACATGGCCCTGTTCTCCACTGTCGGTCGGTAGTATGACAATATGATGATTTCCATTCTTCCATAATGTAGTAAGCCTTCATGAGTAAACCAAGTCGATATTCCATCAAAAAGGTCCGTGTATAAGACTGACCGGGAGTAAAAACGAAGCGCGATCAAGCTATACAGCCGAGGCACACACGAAGCGTCAATACATCTCGGAGAGGGATATCGATATTGCCATAGTGGGCTCCCAGGTCACGGTTCAAATCAAATTCCTCCCACACTTTGTCACAGGCAGTTACTTTGATGAGACCCTCTTTGATTGTGACACTAGGGGGGATGTTCTTTAAACTTAGGGATCTGCACTCGTAGAAGATGGCGATGCCGCCAACCACCAGGCGCTCAGGCAATTCCGGCAAGTCCGTGGAGGACACGCTCAGGTCGCCACCCACGTATGTGTCGTCTTGCAATTCTATGAAGTGGGTGCGATACCAAGCCGACGAGAGCGAAAAGTCCCCGCCGACTACAAGGCCGACGGGGAGATGCAGGTTGAAACAGTCGTGTATATACAGCCCGCCTTGCACCTCGAAACCGGGTGGCAGGCTGCTGAGCGGCGACTCGCTAAGGGTCAAGTCGCCTGGGTAGACCAGATGCTCCGATGGAAGCCCGGCCGTCATCTTTGCCGCCAAGTCACGACGGGCCGTGGCCTCAGCCTCCGAGAGGTTTGGTTCATCCACCCAAGCTTGCAGGTCTGTCGTCGTGAGCACTGGGCGTGGTCTTGGTGGTGGGGAAGGGGGTTTTGCCGGCGACGACCGAGCGGAGGACAGCGCACGACGGATTCGACGTCTTAGTGTGGTAAACATATTTATTAAAATTACTGTGCCTTTTGATTAAAAATTCGAGACAACAAGCCGTTCAAGTTGTTGTATGACGATGATGGTATTATTTAATAAAGCATCATGGAAAAAAGATTCAAAAATTAAGAGGCTCAGAGGGGTGTTAGTTCGCTCTGCCGGTGCACCCTAAAGGTTTAGGTCTAACTGCGGTAAATTTCAGGACATGTACTTCGGACCATGTTGGGACCGCGGCTCAGTGGCTTCTTTGTATCTCTGAGTTAAGAATAGCAGGCACCCTAATATGACCACCTGATGGATGCAGTAGTTGATTACTAACAAATTATTACACCTTATATATTCCATTCCGACCGCAAAACAAATTGCGTTCGATGAGTTTAATCATGTAATTTTTTCATGGTGAATGACCGTAAAACTAGCACATCTCGATTTTTATTATACTTCATTCCCTCAAATTAATAACGGGCTACATTTATGTGCACTGGTTGATTCCGAGTTTCACCTCATCTTGCAGGCTACTACTATCGATTCCTGATAATACCTGTTGGTGTTTTCTTGCATTGCGCCTAATGATTGCCAATATGCTCAATATTGGTTATAGCTTGGACTTTGTTATTAAAACTCCGCACCCCTGGCTCCCCCTTTTGCCCTTATGTTGGCAAAGGTATTCTTTGAGCCAGGACTGAACGAACACCCCGTCGTTCGCCGGCAGGATATGGGAGGCCGCCGCGCCGAAAAGCAGCCAAGGCTTCAGTGGTCTGGCTCGGGGAATCTCACAAGCGAACTGTCAATATCTCAAGATCGTGGCTGTTGTTGACTCTTCATGAATAGCTGTTGTTTGTATGGCGTAATAATCATGGCCGTCTTGAATTTGCCCTTGCGGATGGCTCGAACCCCTAACCCCCGCCGAGAAACGTGTACTAGGCAGATTGTAAACGGACGTGCCGCATTGTGTTTCTATCAACCCCTTGAGGTCAAACCATATCGCCATACTCATCGTCCGGACGAACTCCCGCAGCCATCCCTGATAATAACGAGTTGCTTCACTGTCCCGATTGTGTTTTAACATCGCACCCCGGTAGATGGATCCCGTTGCATGATCTGCGTCGTTACCATGAGTACGATAGTTCGTGTTCAAACGCAACGTCAATCCACAGAGTGTTGTTGACAGACTTATAGATAGAATAAATTAAATCAAAGGTTAAGTCCTAATTCGATAGAAGGAGGATTTAGTAGTGCCTTATAGCGGAATCATGAAAACTTGTTCCAAGGTATAGGGTAAGCTTCAACAGGTATTTGTTCGTACGGAGTCCTTGCTTGGGGTGCGGCTGGCCTGTTCGATAACAGAAGAGGGCATACATAAAAGCTGTGAAACTCATGGAGCGAGACATGCTATCACGAACGGCGGGCAGGGGACGCCGTGGAAGCTCCCCGGGTCGATCCAGGGTGCTACCACACGAAGATCTTCCTTTTTTTGGCAGGGCCATTCAGAGGAATGTTGTCAAACATCCGAGTCAAGACTTCAGATGGCGGCTCCTTGTTCTGGACGGGCTGTTAAAGAAGCAGATGAGATTTCCTGACCATCGGGGACGCCAGAACTATTTGGCTCCAGCCTGTTCGACCCAGTTCCCCATGATTCTCAATGGAAATCTTTCTTGCGTAAGATCTGCGACCTTGTAGTGGGCCTTGTCTTTGTTTCCGTGAGGCGTTCCAGGCTTCCCACTCCGCGTCGGCGTTGTACGGGACTTGGGTGGAGGCACCGCCCGTGGTGTTGAAAATGCTCGTGGTGTATGAGGCAAGGCACAGGGACCCTGGCCTGCTGTTGCACTCGCTCTGAAGAGAATGAACGCGAGAATCTGGGCCCATCTGCAAGACGTTGATGAATAAATTAAGTTGAAAACTGGTCGATGGCTCGTCCTCGTGCCAGTTGATCGGCCACTCCTTCGTTATGCGCAGGGCGGTTTGGATACTCAGAGTGTCTTACTGTCGATCAACCTCATCAAATGTAGCAGCCTGACCAGCGAAGAGGATTCCTCCGGCACTCTCCTTCTTCGTAATCCTTGGCCGATAACTTACTCTGCATTCCATTTGAGCTTTGAGGTATGACAGAAAGCACGGTAAACGTATCGTGTTGCAATAGCCGCATATGAGACCGGCCATTACGCCAGTTTTCACTTCTGTTGAACGAGCTTTATTCCATGTCTCTTTCCAGTCCCAGGGTGCTTTGGTTGGCCATGGAGGTCAAAGGCCAATGCACTGAAGATAGGGCAGTATTCATCTTCGTCACAAAGCTAATTATCAGGTGCCAGATTCGGCGCTCCATAACAAGGTGGCCGCGTGAAGCCTTAAGAAGAATGCAAGACATACACTATTCGTCTGCATTCTCAATAGCAATCGAGACGTGTCCTTGCTCCATGGGGATAGTGGCTGGTAGATCCCCAGACCGAATAGGAGAGCCGGGGCGATCCTCTGATAGGACGCAGCCAGAGGATGTGCAGGTAGTTGTAGCATCATTACTACCCTCGATGACCTCGTCATTAGTAGATGATGGGACACTGGTACCATCCATCTCATCGGTGTCCTGATTGTCGGCAACAGTGGATGGATTAACAGCTGATGGAGGGGAAGAAGGCTGTTCTTCCTTGAAATAGGAGGTCTTAGAAATGATAGCTTTTGGATCTCATCTGTCGATCACAAGAGCCTTGGTAAACCTATCATTCTCATCCTCGCAAACAACTAAGAGCTGGATTTCGAAACTGTCGTCCTGACGTAGTAATCATCTAGGCCGATGGCTTTCGAGGATGGGTCGAGGCTCGTAGGCTATTATGCGAGAAGTTTGCCAAAAGCCTAAAGCTCACAGCGGACAAGGGTTGGCACATGCTGGCTGGCCGCTACTGGTCTCTCTCTTTATATTGGTCATGTATGCGTAGTAGTTGATCTATTCTGGTTTTGTCGTTCGATCACACGTTGTCTTAAACCAAGCCTTGCCCTGCTTTTGACGCCGGATTTCCTTACCATTAAGTTGTTCACCTCAGCGGAGTCCAGCTGGAGTCTTCTCTATCTGTCGTGGCACCCGCCATGTAGTGTGTCATGTGGTGTAGAGGTTCATACGGGCGAATAGTGTCCTCTTGGTAGGAGCTTGGGGCTTGTTCTGGACGAAAAATAAGGATCAGCGCGTTTGAGACAAGAGTGCGTCCAAGATAAACAGAAACTTAGACATGAAGAAGCGTCATGAGCAATGCAGATATCGAATTCTGCGGCAAGATCCCAACTGTCAGCGTGCCAGGGCAAACTTTGCCATTGCCGCTGAACGGAGACCGAACTCGGCCATCCAAGATGCTCGTGGTGTTCTCGTACCCTTCCTCTACCCCGATTCTGGTCTCAGCTTTGAGCTAGATGTATACTCAAGAATCACATTGTAGTACTTCCACTTCGAGATGTCTCCGTATGAGGATTCTTAAAAAAGTCATTTGGCGCTTTCCCAAGGGGACGACGACCGCGTCCAGACATCATTGTAGATGAATTGCATAGAGAGCTAAGACCACCAATCACCTTACTGCACATAGTGTTCAGTCGTTGCAGCTGAGATCTTATGGAATTGTAAGTCCTAAGTCTGCGGTTGCATGACTACCGGGAGAAATGCTCCGTCGGAGCTTGTCAGCGTCCTCTTTCGGACACAGAAAATCATGAGAGCGGGACGTTCGGTTTGTTTTCCTTTGCCATCTTCGAGTATCAGCCACAGATGGAACTCACGAGGAAGTTGTTAGTTCCCTTATAAATGTGTCGGTGGCAGCTGTCTACTATCCGCTTTGACTAAGACTCAAGTTACATAGCATGAAGGCGCTGGGTGAAGCTCTTGCCGGGCACTTGTTCTAGATTTCCAGCTTTGGCAAGATATATCTGGAAGGCCTCAAACTCATTACTATGAGGAATAACGCTTTTTACTAGTTGATAGGCCAGTCATTTGTGATACGAGGTGCCGTTTGAGCGCAAAGAGGATCGACGAGCTTAGGAGCTGCGATGGTCAAAGGATTTCCTAAGGAAAAGGCTAGGACCTGCAAGCTCTTCCGCGCTGTTAACCGGTCGATAGTTGAGATACGCGTGCTTATAGTCGCTGTAGGTATGGAAGAGGTAGTTGGCACACTTTCCGTTGAAAGCATTAGGCAGGGAAAAATAGCCGAAGAAGGGAAACATGGTATGAACCCGAAGCTGGTTGACATTGCTCGCGAGGTTTTGCAAGTAATGCTGGCATGCAGCCGCGTTCCTAAGGCCATGAAGGGCAACCAGAAAAGCCTTTGACTGTTATTTGTTTGTGACAAGCTGAGAAAAGAACGTGGATCGTGGATGGCTAAGATGTACTAACACCCAGCACCACGTGAAGGCTGCTTCCTTTTAGGTAGCACAAGAATTTACCCAAGCAGTAAATTGGTATCCAGGCCAGTATCTAAAACGCTGGTCGTCTCTTGGTCTCAAGGGAGGGCTAGAGGATTGGATGACCCTAACTACGCCCAGTTACTTGGGAAGCCGTCTATTTCGCTCTGTAGCAGTCGAGTAAGGAGTTCTATTGAGTTAGGGATATAGAAATAAGTAGAAATAGATTACTCCTGCTGGGCAACTTTAATATATGATTTCATCTTAGGCGTCCACCGCTCAACTGCGATAACCTTTTGGCCAAATTCTTTGGCCATTTCCAATGAGATCCTTCCCATTCCGTGTCGGTTTGGATATGTGGTGTGTGGGAAAATACCAGCAGAGGATGCTCAAGGCGTCTCCGACTCTGCGCACTTCTTGATCATGGTACATCATGCCATTCCCCTCGATCT